GGCGGGGGGTCGGCAAAAAAAATATTGATTTTTCTTTCCCCGCAGTACACCGAGGGGGTGATGAAGCACTCACCAACAAAACATCTTCCGGGGGGGGGGGGGGGGCAATTGTCTCAGCAATTTTGAAATTTAAGAAAACAGCCCTACAAGCAGACACCAGCCCGTGTCGTTGACGTACGAGTAGAACAGGTAGGTTGTTCCCCGCCTTCCCCTCGCGCCGGTTCAGATTCGCCGCCAAGGCTACCCGACGGCACGGCGACCGGCACACCGCATACCTTGCGAGTGGGCGACGGTGCCGACGGCGGCTAGGGAAGCAGCGGTGGTGGAGCGGTTGGCAACGGTGGCAACGGTGGCGGCGAGGGCGGCGTCAGTGATGGTGGCAGCGATGGCGGAGCTGGCACAAGTGCAAGCGCGCATGACCGGACGAGGACGGAAGATTGCAGAGGTACGAACGTGTCGCACGTCGCCGAAAGCCGGCACCAGCTCATGTCGATGACGTACGAGAAGAACTGGCAAGACTCGTCCTCCTCGCAACGGCGGCTGCAGGCGGAATCGCCGCTAGCAAACCCAGTAGAGAGGGGCTTGCCGCCACCGCACTGCGAGGCGCCACCCGACGGCACGTACATTCCCGTAGGAGGGAGGACTCTGCTGACAGGTTTTTTTTAGTGTATGTAGCTCTTACGTACATTCCCGGAGGAGGACTGCTGACAGGGTTTGCGATGAGGAGCGACCCGATGGGTTTCTCGGAGGTTAGTGCACCACTAACCGCCGAAGCGCAAGCGCTGGGAGCAAGAACACTACGACCTGGGTCGGGCTCATACTAGCACCCCACCTCGCGAGCCGACGTTCTGGCTCAGCGAGGTTGCTGCGGAGCATTCGCGGACCGGTTCTTCTGGTCCAGCGAGGCCGCTGCGGGGCACCCGGCGGCTCGGGTCACTTCTCATCGCAAACTCGGTCGAGCAGGAGGTAAGGTGTGTGCGTGTGGGAGGCGGCGCGGCACTGTGGGAGCGGCGGTACGGCGGCGGCAAGGGTCGGCGGTAAGGCGGCGCGGCGGCAACAGACGGCAGGCAGGGCATCGGACGGCGGGACAAACGGCACGGCGGGAGCGGCACTGTAGGAGCGGCGGTACGGCGGCACGGCGGTAACGGACGGCAGGGGGGGCGGCAGCAATAATATCGTTGGCCGAGGCCTCGTTGGCCGAAGCCTCGTTGGCCGAGGCCTCGTTGGCCGAGGCCTCGGTGGCCGAAGCCTCATTTTTGTGTCAAAGGGTAGAAATATGCCCGTTTCTCACATCCTCGCCTCACCGGATTTTTTTATTTCTCTTGTTGTATTTTTCTTTGTTGCGCGTAATGTTTCCACAACTTTGCGGCGTTTTCTAATGCGGGGACCACATGCGGGGGTCATCTCAGAGACCGCGGCCGCGCTGGTTTTCACGGGCCACTTGCGCGACACCTGCGATCGAAAGAAAGATGGGATCATTGGACTGCTCAATCAGACTCGGATGTGCCGTGAGGCTTTCCACGGTCGCTGCGACGTCTTCATATACACCTGGTCGACGCTTGAGAAGGCGGCAGCACCATACAACACACAGGGACGCACCCTATTGGCACCGAGCAATTCGTCATCCTGGGCGTGTCTGGAGGCGGTCTCTCGTGCGCTCGAGCCGACCGTTGTTTCAGCAGTCGTCCAGCCAGCCAGACCAGAGGTGCAGCCGAGTATGCAGTCGTGGGGCCGGTTAGGGGAGAGCCTCGCGAGCTTTCGCATGAACTCTGCGGCGGTGATAGGCGGGCTTGATTTGATGCGCAGTTATGCTTCATCCATGCGTGTCAACTACAGTGCCGTCGCGCGTATGAGGCTGGATATGGGGAGCCGCCGGTGGACCAGGTTTGGGCACGTCTTTCTTGCTCCGATGGGCTGGGCGAATATCCGCTCGAGGGCGGACGAAGATGCGCGCGGCGGAGGTCAGCCAGGCCTAGCCCGGGAGGTGAGCACGTGCGACGTACCGCGCGTCAAATTAACCGACTTTTGCATGTGGTCGTCGCCACCCGCCGCCCTCCTCGATGCCTTTGAGGAGCTGCGGGGCGGACGCTTTGACAGCCTCATCTTGGGTGGAGGAGGCGCTGCACCGTGCGACTCGCTGCTGAATCGGTCCGCTCCACTGCGGGGCCTGAGCGATCGGGCGAAGGCGGAAAGGCGCCAACGGGAGCAGGACGAAGCTACAAACGGCTCGCTGCTTCTCGGCGGCCTCCTTGCAAAGGGCGTGCGGCCCCGCAGCTCTGCGCCTGTCTCTCGCCCTGCCCCTGAGACAGTGTTTGTGATGTTGCAGGTGAACGGCTGCCAACGTACTCCGAGAATATCCTCTTCTGTGCCTTGAATCGTGCGGGCATCGGCCGCTCACGACGCCCTGACGGTAGACGGGCATGGCAGAGCAGAGCTGTTGCAGACGCTCGGCGCATCTTGGCTGCGACTGCAGCGCCTTTCCCCCTGCTCCCCCAGTTGGCCGCTCGCAAGCCGCGGGTGCGTCCGGCCAGCCTCCCAACCCGCGTGGCGGACCCGCAGCCGCCTTCCCTTACCCGAAGCACTCGTGGCCGCATGAACGCAAATGCGGCATCATGGACGCGAGGCGCCGCCGGTGGGGTGCGAGGAGCTTGGGGGGACGGCGGGTGAGCGGGAGAGATCGACAGAGAGCGCAAGATGGGCAATAATTCTAGAAGATACGCGTGGCACTGACCGACACATAAAACACCAAAAAATGCACCTTGGACCGTTGTCTGTTGTCACGCCTCACTAGCTCCGTGGTCACCCGCTTGTTGTGTTGTGCGCATGGCAGCGACAGCGTCCGCTCTCTGCGGCGACACGGGCCATTGTAGCTTTCACAATCTTGCCGCAAGTGCACTTGTGCTTGGCATCAAAGGCCTCCAGCCCCTCGCCTCCTTCGGGATGTGTGCCAGCGCACCTCACGCAGTCACACTCAAAGCCCCACGGGTCGAGGGTTTCCTTGCTCCCCGCCTCAAAGGAGCGCACATAGCAGTACGTGAGCTCCTCGCCGCGCGATATGGGGGAGATGGACTCGAGGGCGAGATGCCGACCGTGGGCAGTCATGACGCAGTTCGGCAGGCAACTGTGGTTGATCATCGCGGCCTCCGGGTACATGGCGCTGCCTCGAACGCGCTCCCGCTCGTCAAATAGGTGGAACGAGTTGCATGCCTCCGCCCCGACCAGACGCAAGGCATCCGCCTCGTCAACCAGTCGTCCCGCTTGCAGCTTGGCGAGGCGCACGATGCGCGCAGCAGAGGAGGCCGACGCGCCGGAGCGTGCAACCTGTTGGCACTGCGCGGTCGCTTGCTCAAAAGAAGGCTCGCCGTCGAGCGCCGGCTGCGAGTGCCGGTGATTCGCATCGGACGCGCGCTGCGCGAAGGCGCGCAGCAGAAAGCACGCCGTCGATCTCTCGCGGGGAGAGAACTTTCTGCTCTTCATGCTGTGAATCCTGCTGAGCCCTGCGCAGCACAAAGCGTGGCCCTTTTCCTGGGACCATGAACGGCACTTGGGGCTGCACCAGGCGCTCGCACAGCCCTCGCAGCGCAGCGGTTGCGCTGCAGCACTCCAGCAGAGGCAGGCGCTGCAGGCCTCGCTCAGCGGCTCTCCGTGTGGGTACGAGTAGCTCACGTCTTCAAAGTCGTGCATTGTGTGCGAAAAAGAGGCGAACGAGGCGAGCTGTTCGCCCGGGGCGATGTCTCGCACCGCCACGATTCCTCGGCCACGTCCTGGCAGAGTTCGAACAGCGAATGAAACGTCAGCGGGCTCACTGAGGAGACTATCAGTTGCGGCATGCATCGACTTGGACTGCGGCGGCGACAAAATCTGCCCGCGTGGGCTTCTCAGCTCACAGGTCAAGCTCAGCGTCCAAGCCAGCGTCTAGCGTCGTCGAGCACGCACGTCGTCGAGCACGCACGGTCGGCACGTTGGAGGCACGTCGTCGGGGACGTCCGCGAGGCATAAGAAATCAGTTCTAGCGCCCCACCCCCCCTTCACCGCCTTTAGCTCGTCTTCGGGACGTGTGTACGTCACAACCTCACGTGCGAGTTGTGGCGGGAGAGGAACGAGCCGGTGCGCGCTTGGCGCGCCGCACCGGCGTACGACGCCGCTCTGTGGGGCAGGGAAGGTGACCAGCTTGGACACCGAGCGATGGTCGCGGAGGAGTTGCGGAACCTCGTACAACGGAGCCAGCTACCAGCAGGAGCACGACGGGAGGATGCCATGGAAGGCGCACAAGCCTCGGGCGAGGGAGGAACAGAGACGAGGAAGGTACGACCGACGGTACAAGCCGGCGGGAGGGCTGAGCCGAGCCGAGCCGGCCACGAGCCCCCTCCCCTGCCTAGGAGACCCGGCTACGAATCAGTGGTGTTCCTGGACGAGGTCACGCGAGTGGTGAGGGCGAGGCACGCCTTTGGCGTCCTTGGCGACGTGGTGGTGTATAGACGACTAGTTGGCTCGACAGACCTTCTTGGGCAGGTGTTCCGGTGGGGGGGGGGGGGACTACCTCGTCAACGACATTGCACCAGGAACGACACCGTCGGGGGGGCAGGCGATGATGGCATACGCCTGCTGTGTGTGAAGAAGCGAGTGGCATCGGCGGGCCCGCTGTCTGAACACAACTCGGCCTTCGATATTCGGGCAGTGCGGGAGCGGATCGAGGGAGATCGGGTGAACGAGGAAGCGACGCGACTGATAGACAGCCTGCGACCTAGCGGAGCGCGAGGGGGAGGAGAGGCGAGGCCAGCGGCGAGCCCGGGCCCTGCCCCCCTCCCTCCTCGGGGGGAAGCAAGGGCTAGATCCCCCCCCCGGAGCGCGGTGAACGATCGGCGCGTGGTCCGTGGAGCCACGGCTGGAGAGGCCGCAGGGTCGTGGGGCCGCCCCCGTCCCCCGAGGCCCGAGGCTCCACACCAGGCGTCGCGGCCGCCAGTACCGCCACCGTACCCGCCCCCCCCACCTCCGCCTCCGACCCCGCCGTTGGGACGACCGCAGGGTCAAGGGGCCGCCCCTGAGGCTCCACATCAGGCGTTACGGGCGCCAGTGCCCACCGTACCCGCCCCCCCCCACCGCCGCCTCCGCCCCCGCCGCCGGCGTGGCCGTCACCGTACGGACCCGCACGGAACCTGGGGGATCTGGAGCCGCCCCGCCGGAGGCTGGAGCACCCGAGGGAGGGGACCGAGGGGGGGGCGAGGTGCCGTGGGGAAACAGTGGGCCAGCCGACGAATCGGGAGGCCGAGACCGGAGGGCCCCGGGTGAGACCTGGAGTCAACTGTCGGAGGGGGTGAGAGTTGGGCTGTCTCGGCCCCTGCGAGTGGGGTCGGGACATACGAGCCCGCCAGGGGTAGACCCGTCGCGGCGGCAGCCGGACCACCGGGATCTGCGACAAGGAGGGCCACGCCTCCCCGAGCTCGATGAGGGGCCAGCGGAGGGGAGGGGCGAGCCGAAGACGATAGAGAGGCCGCGGATGCGGGCGCGACTCGTCGACCAGGGAGAGCCGGCCCGACCTCCCTGGGCGGGGAGGCGACGCGACCCTATGCCACCGCCCTCACCCGGGGAGTCGGGCACGGGATCACCGTCGGCGGGGTCGACACAAGGTCGGGCAGAGGGGACGAGACGGCGGCGGGGCCGCAGCCGAAAAGGGCTAGGAGGGGGGGTCGGGCCCAGCGCCCGTCGCATAACTATCGGGATGCGAACAGAAGGTGAAGGAAGGACCGCGAGAGGAAGGGGAACACACCCCGGAGTGAGAGTAGGGAGACCACGGAGGGGGGTCCGGAGTGGTGAGGCGCCGGGGGTGGGTGGGCGTCGTGTCCGTGTCTAGTGTTTACGCTAGCTCCGAGTAGAGGGCGGGGGGCGTTCTGCTGCTAGGGGAAACCCGGAGCGCGGAGCTAACCCTCGGGGAGACCCGTTTATTTTATGGCCCTTTCCCTGCGAACGCGCACCCCCCCTAGGGGTCAGGGCTCTCTAGCCCGTAGCCCGACGCCGATCATCCGGCCCGCTGGGTGCGCTTCTTAGCTCCCCGGCCCTGGCCCCTGGATGTGAGGTTACTAACTGCACTCCAAGGGCTCCAAGATGCGCCCCCCGAATGGCACCGATGCTAGAGCTCAATCTCCCCCTCTGGCAACGGGATCCCCCTCTCGAGCTCAAATTGCTGAAAGACTCTCAGCGTCGCGAAATGGCGGAAGCGGCGCGCGAGCGCCCTCGCGCTGTCGCCTCTCCCCTCCAGCCCCGACGGCCGTGTGTGCGACGCGCCTGCGGCCAGCAGCGCCTATTGCTCACCCGCGCAGAAAGTTTGGCCAAATGTAGGTGGACACGCGACCGCATCGGCCTGCCGCCCGCCTGCGCTCCCACCGCCAAGTTGTTGCTTGCGTGCCGCTGCAGCGGCGTGTAGCCCCATGCGTCGGTCGCCTCCACGTCCGCGTCCGCGCCGAGCGCCTCGAGAAGAAGCGCCGTCGACATCTCTCCCGCCCGGCTCATGCCGCAGACGTGCAGCGCCGTGGCGCCGCCGGTGGTCACCTGGCAGCAGGCAGCTCTCGTCTCCCCCCGAATGCGGTGAAACGGCACCGACACCCGAGCGGCTCCCTCACCTCGCGAGCAGCGCCGGGCTGCGCCTGCAGCACACGGCGCACCGCCGGCGGCCCGCCCCGGATCGCGGCGCTCAGCAGCGTGTAGCCTCCCCCCGCATACACCGGACCCGGCAGCGAGTTGTGCTCCTCAAACTGCTTCCCGATCACCACTGTGCCGGCGGCGTCTCGGAGCACCCGCCCGCCGTAGATGCCTGCTCACGCCGGAGACAGTGAAGAGAGGCGACGCCCACACGAGAGTGGCGCCCAGCATTCAGTCGCCTGGCCCGACCGAATCCGACTCGGCCTCGAGGCCCTCCGCCATCGACACGGCGCCTCTGCGAGCAGGCGGCTGCCCGGCCCGGCGCAGCCGCCGCCGCATCAGCCGCACCTCGCAGCCGGCAGCACTCAGCGTCTCAAAGCCGCAGCGCTCGTAGAGGCGGACCGCCGCGCTGTTCGTTTCCGTGACACCGAGCAGCAAGTGCTCTCCGGCGTAGTCGGAGGAGCGCACTGCCTCGACGGCGGCCTCGACGAGGGATTGGCCGACGCCGCGGCCTCGGGCGCCCTCCCGCACGGCAAGCGAGGCAAGGTACGGCTGCAGCCGCGCCAGCTGCTCGGGTGAATATGCGCCACCGGCGAGCCGCTGCTGGTACTGCGGACTGTGCACCTCGACCGAGCCGAGGATATGACCGCTCTCCTCCTCGGAGGTGGCGACGAGGACGTGGTTGATGCGGAGCCTTCGCTGCAGCGAGAGCCAATCGCCTGGCAGCTGCCGCCACCGCGGCAACTCGGATGGGAAGGTGGCCAGGTTGAGGAGGCAGAGGCCGAACGCCTGGGAGCGGGTGCACGGCTGGACGAGAACCATCAGCTGTGAGGGCGCGTGAACCTCACGTGAAGATGGTTGCGAACAAAGTATACGACGGTTGCGAGGGGCGGCACCCTCATACGCGTGGCTGCGAGTCCAGTCGCGTCGGCCCCGACTGCCTCTGTGTGTGTTGTCGGTGGTGTGTTGTTGTTGTTGTGGTGTGGTGTGGTGGTGGTTTTAGGTGTGTGTGTGTGTGTTGCCTCGGCGGCGGCGGCGGCGGCGCGGGTTCGCTCCTCCGAGACGGCCGCCGCCACCGCGGATTCGATCAGTTGTGCTTCCTCCATCTTGAGCGTCGCGATCCGACGATCGGCCGCCGCTCGCTCCTCCTCGCGGGCCTCACGCACCGCCACCCTCGCCTGCTCGGTGGCCTCTTCGAGCGCTTCACGGTGAGACTCTGCCGCAGCCGCCTCGGCGGCCTGGACGGCGGCCTGAACGGCGACGCGATGGACCAGGCCGTCCGACGCAGCAGCCAGCGCGTCTGAGAGCGGCGCGTCGTCCGAGTCCTCGGAGGTCGGAGGAGAAGTTTTCGAGTCCTCGTATAGTTGCAGCTCCACGGTGGGCTCGTCCGGCACAGCCTCCTTCTCGAACGGCGGCTTACTGTCGGACTGCAGGGTCGCCTGACCGTTGCGCTTCTTCTTGCCCATCGCTCGAGAGCGGGGAATAGGAGAGGGAATGAAGTGTGCACTCAGGGTGTGACCCGCGAACGCCGACAGTCGGACGTGCCCGCCGTGGGCGCGGATGATGCAGCAAAGATCAAAAACTACGTAAAGCCACCCCTTCTTCTCAGCAGAGTCCTCCTGGGAATTCGGAAAGGGGTCAAAGATAAAAAGAAACCGTAGCGCGGTCCGCCGTTTTTCAGCGCGGGCGGGCAGGGGGCTTAGCTGCAAGGCCGGGCTGTCTGCCAACGACGCGGGCGCGCCCCAGACAGAGCAGCCTTCCGCTGTCGCCGCTGCCGCCGCCACTCCATGCAGCCCGACACCTGGCTCGCTCACCGGCACAGCGCGGACCCGTCGAGAGAGGAGCGCCGGACGCCGCCCTTTCTGCAGCCGGACCCGTCTCAGTATCTGCCTCTCCCGTCGCTGAGCGAGCGCAGCACGGGCGGCTGGTTTGGCGGCTCCAACTGGTGGGCCCGCCGCACCGACCTGGAGCGCACCGTTGAGGCGCAGGCGGCTGAGCTGGCAGCCCTCCGAAGCAAGGTCTGCAAGCTCGAGGGCGTCGCCCGGTCGCCGCTGCCGCCACCGCCGCCGCTCGCGTCCGCGTACACAAACACCAAACCACAGCTGTTGCCAAAACGACCACTCGACCGTATCGAGGGTCTGATCGACGAGCGGATCCGCACCCTCTGCCTGGTGGGCGTGCTCTGCGCCGTCGTCTACTTCGCCCTGTACCATCTCGCCGGCACACTCATCCCCTTCTTCCTCGCCGTCTCGCTCAAGTACATCCTCACACCCCTCATCGACGTGCTGTCGTGCCGGCACCCGCTCTGCGAGAGCGGCCGGCCGCGGCCGTGGTGGCTCGTCGAGCTGCCTCGCAAGTGGGCGGTGCTCTTTGCCTTGGCGATCGCGCTGTTCGTCCTCTTTGTCGTGGGGCTGACCGTCGCAAACTCGCTCTCGGCCTTCGCCTCGCGCGCGGGCGTGTACAACGAGCGCATCGACGAGCTGATCGACTGGTTCTTCCACAAGCTGACCGAGGTGCAGATCGACCTCGGAGTCATCAACGCCACGGACCACTCGGGCGAGCGGCAGATCGAAAACATCGACCTGCTCAAGAATGCAGTGGTGGAGAAGATCGACGCGTCCGAGCTCATCATCTCCTTCCTCGGCACCGCCACCAGCGTGCTCGAGAACGTGATCTACGCCTCTCCCCACACGCCTCCCTGGGGCCTCACCGGAACCTTCTCGGAGCCCTCCTGCAGGTGCTCTATGTCATGCTCTTCCTCGTCTTTATGCTCCTCGAAGGCACGCGCCCCTCACGCGCCCCTCACGCACCCCTCACGCGCCCCTCACGCACCCCTCGCGCACCGCCGGCCCGGGCTACACAACCGCCGCCTTCGTCCCCCTCGCCACCGCCACCGTTGCCGCCCCTGCGCCCCCGCAACCGCCGCCGCCCTCGGCACGGCCCTCGCCGCCCACGCTACCGCCGCCCACGCCGCCGCCTCCCACGCTACCCGCCCAGCACCCGTCCCCCTGCCAGCACCCCTCCCCCTGCCAACACCCGTCACCCTGCCCCGCCTGGCCAGCCCAGGCGACGACCGGAGAGACCGCCGGCTCACTCGCACCGAGCGGCACGCAGAGCGCCAGATCTTCGCCTACATTAGGCGCCCCATCGCCCGCCGCCCCCCCTCCGCCTCCTCCCCTCCGCCTCCTCCTCTCCCACCCCTCCTGCTTGCCGCCCGCCTCACGCCCGCCTCCCTCTCCCCTCAGCGGCAAGATTCTGCTCTCGCTCTTTGTGGGCATCGCCCACGCCGCCATCCTCGGCTACGCCGGCCTCGACCTCTCCCTCTCCCTCGTCTTTGGCCCGTCGTCCTTCCTGGGGGGAGAAGCACCTTCCCGGGCGGCGCCCGCGACACGTCCCTCCCCGCCGTAGGCCTGATGACCTTCTGGCTCAACTTCATCCCCGCCGTCGGCGCGCCGATCGGAGTGCTGCTGCCGATGCCCTTCATCGTCCTCGACACGGAGCGGCCTGCCCATGACCTCCCCCCGGCCTGCCTCCGGCCTACTCTCGGCTGCTGTACCTCGGCCGCCCCTTCACTTCGGCCGTAGGAGACCTTCACCGACTACGACATGCTCCTCGCTTTCCTCGCGCCGATGCTGCTCGCATTCCTCAACAAGGACGTCATCGAGACAAAGGCGCCCAGCCCCCCCTCACGTACCCTCCCTCAAGCCCCTGCCTCCGCCACGCATCGCTCTCCGCCTGTCCCTCGCGCGCGCACCCCGCTCCCTCTGCCCCCCCCCCCCAGCCCCGCCCCCTCCCCCGCCGTCAACCCGCCCCGCCCCCGCCGGCAAGGTCTTCGCCTCGTCCACCAACCTCGACTCGGTCGGCGTCATGCTCTCCATCCTGCTCTGGGGCTCCGTCTGGGGCATCACCGGCATGGTCCTCGCCGTGCCAATCACCGCCGTCTTCCGGATACACCTCGAGCACATCCAGCACCCGCTGCCGCGCTACCTCGCGGGCAAGCTCGGCAAGTCGACGGCCATGCCGCGCGACACCGCGAGCGCTCGCGCGCGGGAGACAGAGGTGGACGTGGCGGCCGTCGGGCCGGCGAGACAGTCGACGCACATGCCAGTCGCACGGCCGGGAGGTGGAGATGAGCTACTGTGACCCGTGCGGGCTTTCTTTTGGTGCGTGTGGTCCACGCTCGGGGTACAAAACTCGCTCTCACAGCACACAGGCTAAGAAAAAGGGAAGCCAAGGGAGGGAGGGGAGGACGGCACACGCCGCCACCTCACAGGATTCCCCGGTCTTTTTTTATTGAGCTGCGACACTGGGTTGACACCGAAGGGCCACGCTGCTTCCTGTCCTCTTCGGCCTTCCACTTAGCTTCCGTGATGTTCCGCACCCTCTTGCTGACTGCCCTCGCCGCCCAGGCGACCGCGCTCGCGGCCGCCCCGAGGCCGGCCATCGTCGGTCGCGCAGGCCGCGTGTCGCTCACAGTTGCGGACAAGTCTGAGCAGCCCGAGTTGGTGACGGTTGCGGTCGACCTTGGAATCACTGCGCTACGCCTCGGCACCTGCGCGCTCATGGTACGCACCTGCGCGGGGACCTGCACCTGCAACCTGCATCCGACCATCGCCCCCGTTCACGCGATCCCTTCTCGCACCGCGCAGGTGCACCACGGTTTCGACAAGATCCAGAACGTCGACGGCTTCTCCGCGAACGTGGTCGCAAAGTTCTTTGGCTTCCTTCCTGGCCCTCCGCAGTTTTGGACCCTGTCGGCCGCCGCCACCCAGATCGTGGGTGCGGGGTTGCTCAGCGTCGGCGCATTCTCGCGCCCGACCGCGGCCGCGATGTCGGCGACGATGATCACTGCGGTCGTCTTCCACCTGCTAAACACTGGTGGCGAGGCGTTCCCGCTCGGCATCCCGAAGGCCCACTCGTACAACTTTGAGCTCGCGGCCATGTACGTGCTCGTGCTCGGTTATTTCACCGTCAACGGCGCGGGCAAGTACTCTGTCGACGAGCAGGTCCTCGGCGGCGAGCTCAACTTCTACTCGCGCCTGCTTAGCGGCGAGAAGGACGAGTGAAAGACGCCACTTTGCTTGCCACACGAGACGCCAGCGGGCGAGATGCGGCGCGGCGCGTCTGCGGCCTCCTTGGCTTGTAGTGTGAAATCTAGTCCTCGAGAACCTAACTGTGATTTGTGTTTCTCTATGTGAATGAGTTTTGAATACTGAATACACTTTTATTCTAGCTTTTATTTATTCCAACAGTCCTGAGAGCTGAGGCCCGCGCCTCCTGGTGCATGTGCATGCACATGCACATGCGCATGTGCATGTACAAAAGCAAAAAATCAGGAGCGAAAAACACAGCTCAACCACCAAATACAAGAAGGTGGTGCGTGGGGACGTGGGCGGAGAGACCAATCTTTTGCCTTTTGGTGTGGTGGTGGCTGGTGCGTGGTGGTGGGTGGTGGTGGTGGGTGGTGGTGGTGGCTGGTGAGGTGTGTGATACTGTATGTGTGTGTCTGTGTGTTTGCAGTTTTTGGGGGGGGGGGGGGGGGCAATATATTGATTATTGTACACAGTCCGTCTTGCTCTTTGGGAGAGGGCACACTCTCCATCCTCTCGCATGTGGACACATGCACCTCCACATACCCACATACACACAGCCCATACCCTGCTCCACCCGTGTCGCCAGTCGGCGCGCCACTAGTGCGGTAACGGAGCCGCCGCTCCTTCCTCCTATCCGCTATCGTTCCCTCCCCTTTCTGGCCTCGCGTCCTCACCGCCCACTCATACAAGAAACCCGAGGTCATGTCCGTTCCTCTTGGCGAGCTTGACGAGGTTGACGCGGAGCACCTGATCACACCCACAGCCGTGAAGAGACGCTGTTCACAGGTCGCACCTTTCGACGAGGTTGGCACAATGTCACCTTTGGCGTCTCCTTGACGAATTCCTCGAAGTCGATGACCTCGTCCTTGTCCTTGTCCGCCTTCTTCACGATCGTGCCAACCTGCGGCGGGAGGGCGGTGTCGAGGGGGGGAGGCTATTGCGACGTTGCCGTCCTCTAGCAGCATCTCCACAGACGCTCTCGTCTGGCCCTGGCCTCCTATCAACACATCCAACACCCACCGCCCCCGCCCGGCCCCTCGCCTGCGGGGCCCGACCCCGCACTCTAGCCCCGCGCCTGCTTCTCGTCCAAAAAGTCGAAGCCGAGGTCTTGCAGCGCCTCGCGCACCTCCTGGCGGTCGAGTGTGCCGTTCCCGTCCTTGTCCGCGTACCTGGGCAAAGGGCGAGGTGGAGGGTGGGGCGTGGGTGTGTTTGGGGGAGGGGTAGGGGAGGGGGGGGGGGGGGAGAGACGCATGGTCGAGGGGCAGCACGGCACAGAGACGTGGGCGCAGGGAGGAGAGAGGCGGCCGAAGCGTACTCAAACATGCTCTTCAGCACGAGCTGTCCGAACGGCGATGCGGATGTATCGACAAACTCGGCGATGACCTAAAATGGAAGGGTGCCATGACAAAGACCGTTGTGAAGGAGACGGGAGTGGATGCGTGCCAACTGTCCTTGCTGTGCTTTGCGATCACTGAGGCGCGGAACTCCTTGAGCTCCTGCGCGCCCATCACAGACTTGGCGCCGAGGACGAGCGGTGCAAAGATCCCTTGCGAGGTGGTCGCCCCCGCAGTCTTGATCGGGAACGAGCCGGGCGGAGGCAGCACGCAGAGATCGGGGTCGGTCATCTTCTTCATGCCTTCGAGGACCCTCTCGGCGACGGCGAGGTCCGACTTGACGATCGCTGCAAGGGGCGGAGGAGTTTCTTTTCAGGGAGGGCGTGTGTGTTGTGTATGTGTGTGTGTGTGTGTGATGACATACACTGTAGCTCTTTGCTGCGATCTGGTGCGGACTCACAGTACATGGTTCCGCTCGGCTTCGCGAAGGACTCGAGGCGACTGCGAAGAGACTCGATCTCCACCTCTTTTGCCGCCATTCTCATGCACGCCATCGCGAGCGCAAGGTCCTCTTCCTCTGAATATACGTCGGCGTTTTCGGCAGCTGAGGTCGCGTCGGCAGCGTCGGTGAGCAACCGAACGGCTGGCCTCCCGAACGCGCTGACCTGCTCGGGCGTGAGGGTGATGGTGCCCTCGGAGACGGCAGGCGCTGTGACGGTCATGACTGCGGCCGGGCACGGAGAGGCCGGCCGGAAGGCCGGCACGAAGAAAGCATGGGCAACGGGTCGGCTTTCCAACCCGGTGTCTTACCCAAAAAGAAATTGCTCGCCGGGTGGAAGGCCTGCCGTCCTCCCATCCCTCCCCTGCGTGTCGGTTTCCTTTCTTTCTTTATCCTTCAATAAAAATTATTTGTCACAGGCACCCGACAAGAGTGTGTGTGCGCGCTGCACGACACCGCGGCGACCTACAATACACGCGTCGGAGAGATTTTCAGTGCATGTAGCTCTTACGTACATTCAACAGAGGTTTTTCTAAAATCTCTCTCCGTACATTCCCGGAGGAGCACTGCTGACAAGAGAGAATCTCTCTCTGCTGACGGAGTTAACAACAATATATATATGACAACAATATATATCGGAGTTGCGATGAGAAGCGATCCGAACGTGGCATTCGGGTGATCAGATCACTACCGCCGAAACGCAAGAGCACTGTGACGCATCGGGCTCATGCTAGCATCCACCTCGTGGGCCGATGTTCTGGCCCAGCGAGGCTGCTGCGGAGCACTCGCGGGCCGATTTTCTGGCCCAGCGAGGCCGCATTTTCACCGTCGGCGACGGCGAAACGGCGATTCACATTTTGGAATCCGCGTGCACTTTCCATTTTATTTTTCTTCCTCGTGCCTGAAGGGTGCCAGCCATGCTCGACTCTCTTCTGTTCCTCTCTGCCTCGTGCGCCGTCGCACCGTCAACCACAGCGCGAATCAGGTCTCACAAAAGCGTCGGCACCCTACAAGAGTGGGCGCTGCAAGACACGGCGGCGACCTACACCGTCGGCGACGGCGAACGGCGCGTCACGTTTTGGAATTCTCTCGCCACTGAGCACCCGGCCCTCCGCCATGCTTCCGTCGAGACCCTGCTTAACCGGGCGGCCCTCCTCGGGTTGACAGTGGGTCCCGAGCCCAAGCTGCTCGGCTCGGCACAACGGATTGACGACGGGCGCTGGTCAGGCACTGTCGACGGTCACGTTCGCACAATCAACGCGGCCAGCGAAGGGCGGCTCGCCTCGGGCGAGGAGTTTATCGAGAGCCTGACCGGAGAGATTTTCGCGCTCGAGCTCACCTCGGAGTCGCGTGCTGCAGCGACGCTCGTCCCTGATCCGCCCTCGCTCAGTGCCTGTACAGAGCAGTGGAGCATCTGTCCGACGCTGCAGACGGCCTACATAGCCTCGCTGGTCGCGTGCGCTCTGATGCTCGGAGAGCTTGTGAGCCTCGGCGTGCACGCCTCGACGCCGACCTCCACGCGCGTCGAGTGGCAAACGCGGCGGGTGAGCGAGGCGCGCTCCGAGGTCCTCCAGCTGGAGGATTGGCTCAACGGGCGGCGTGAGGCGTTTGCGGCGGACCAGGAGGCGTTTGCGAGGAGGATGAGCGAGCTCGAGCCCAGGCTGGAGGAGAGCGAGGCACGGCTCGCCGAGCTAGTGGCTGAAGCGAGGTGATGGCGCGACTGTGAATCGCGGGTGCTTTCGCGCGGGTTACTCGCGTGCGCATGAGCTGCACGTACGCTCGCTTCCCGACGAAAACAGTGTCTTTTGTCTTTTAGATTCTCAAGGGCACGCAGGCCTTTGCTTGCAAATGACTGTGCACACTGGCTGTTTTTGCACCCTGCGGCGGTGCGGAAAAGTTCCATCCTTAACAGAAGCTCCCTGCCCCTCGCCGTCAGTGATCACCTGAGGTGAGAGAGTACAGTAGTGTGATCGCGCGCGCTAGATCTACTCGAGTATAGGGAGCTAGCCTAGGGGCTGGCGCGCAGACAGGGTTGCCAGGTGATAGCAAAGTGGGCGCGGACACCTCGTACCAGCTATCCAGGAGTGGTATCCAATGCGGCCAAAGGATATCAACCTCGAGAACCGAGAGCGAGAGAGAGGGAGAGAGAGAGGGAGAGAGAGAGAGAGGGAGAGAGAGATAGAGTGAGTGAGTGAGAGTGAGAGTGAGAGAGAGAGAACAACACAAGAACACAATGCACTGCATGACAAGGGCTTGTCCGAGACGGAGGATCCTTAGAGCTCTTGGAGTGCGATTGCGCCTTTTGATTCTTCCTTCTTTGAGTTTTTGCACGGAATTTCTTCTAAAAATCTTCCTTTGGAACCGAGTTGGCACCGGCAATGGTTGGCTTTTTGTGCTGGCTCGCGTACGCGACTCCGGCGTCCGTCGCGCCATCCAGGCCACACGTGCACGCTCGAGCCGCGGCCCCGGTCCTCGCTGGGAAGCACGATCGCCGCACCGCGCTGCTTGGGGCAGGCGCACTCGCCTTCTCTCAGCACGGCGCCGCGTGGGCGGCCGCAGCACCGCCCAAGGTTGCCGCTGCCAAGAAGAAGGCGGACCTGTCAACCGCCCTCTTTAAGCTTACCTTTGACCAGTCAAATAAGCTTGTCTTCCAGGAGCTCGGCTGGGGTGACGCAGAGGCGAAGTTGCTAAGTAAGGCGCTCACGCGCTCATCGTCGGCGTCGAAGCTGATTCTCAGCGGAAATAACATTGCCGATACGGGCGTGGCGGCCCTCGCACAGAGCCTCCGCGCCGGCGCTGCGCCAAAGCTCAAGGTGATCAACCTAGCGGGCAACGCGGTGAGCGAAGAGGCGGCGAAGGGGCTTGTGGACGCGCGCGAGGGGCTCACCGTCTCCTTTGAGCAGCCCGCGAAGAAGGCCGCGAGCAAGGTGGCCTCCTCCTCCTTCAGGGATGAGAACGCGCTCTTCAAGGCGGCCTTTGAGCAGGCAGAGACACTCTTCTTCAGCGAGCTCGGCTGGGGCGACGCGGAGGCAGAGGCGCTGAGCAAGGAGCTGAACTCGGCCACGTCGCTCAAGAAGCTCTTCCTGAACGGCAACGCGATCCAGTGCGATGGCGGCCAGGCGCTCGCCGCCAGCATCCGCGCAGGTGGTGCGCCAAACCTGCAGGTGCTGAACCTCGCCGGCAACCGCGGGCTCACCGAGGCGGACCGGCGTGCGCTGACGAGTGCACGCAGTGGCCTCACGGTGAACTTTGTCCAGCTCAAGCAGGCCTCGGACGCGGAGGTCTACATTCGTGCGGACCAGGGCAAGCTCACGAACAAAGGCGTGATCGACCGCGCCTCGAGCGGCCAGCTGGTCGACGGCTCGGCAGCGACCTGCTCGGAGCTCGAGCAGATCATGAATGTCGACCGCAAGACGATCAAGATCGAGCAGAACTTGCTCAAGGCGATGAAGGACCCGGAGCAGATCAAGAAGGTCGAGGACATCGAGCAGAGCCTCGAGAGGCAGGTGGAGAGAGAGAGAGAGAGAGAGGGAGGGAGAGAGAGAGAGAGAGGAGAGAGAGAGAGAGAGTCTGGCCGTTTCTCGCACACGTCCTGGGAAGCGCTGGCGGCGGGCCCCACACGCACACACACGCGATGCGCACGACTAGCTCTCGAGAAGCCGATGGCACGTCGGGGCAGCAGGCACACTGTCACTGACTGGGACCAGCTGCTGGTCAGGTGGAGCGGCTCGACAAGATCCTGGTGACCAAGACGACCAAGGGCTGCAAAGACGACAAGGCGAAACTCGCTCGCTCGTCAGGCTACCCGCTGAACGGAACCCCTCGCTAAGCGCGATGGCGGAGCCGACCATTAGTGTTGTTGAGCTAGGTAGAGCCGTTCACCCAGAAAGCGACGGCGAGCAACATTTTTGTGGTAGGAGTTGCTTGCGAGAGCGCTCCCTTTGTTCTCTCCTCATTGGACATTGCTCATTCCTCATAAAATCTCGGAGGGTCGGTCTACGCACTACGGAGAGACTTCCCTAGCTGTTCGCACTCGCGAATGCCGTGGGGCCAGTACGTAAGTCTAGACCGGACGCGGAACCATCCACATCATCACTGGCTCGCGGCAGTAAGGGCACTCTCGCATTGAGCTCAGAGCATGGCCCGCAAGCACACAAGTGCCCGCACGGAACCGCAGCATGCGACTTGACTCTCGCGAAACACACGATACACGTGGTCTCTCCCCCCCCATCGTGGACTCGGGGGCAGCCGGCCGTCCCGTGTCGAGGCCGGCGTCGGCTAGTGAGACGGCAGCAAACGGCTCGGTGACTGGCAGATGCTGCTCCGCCGCCTCTCCCGCCTCTGGCTCGATCAAGCGCTCGATGGCGCCGACCCGCTCCTCGAGGCTACCCTCGGTCGCCGCGCCGAGGCTCGCCAGCCGATCGACACGCCGCTGCAAGTCCCCGCCGCCGCCGGTCGACTCGCTGCTCACCGCCTCCTCGCACCGCAACACCCGACGCGCCAGCGTTTCCTCCGCATCCACCTCCGACCGGCGCAGCGCCTCTGCTAGCTCCTCAGCCTCTCGCAGCGCCGCCCGCTCTGCCGCACCCGCTAGCTCTGCCGCCTCGCGCTCCGCCCGCCTCGCTGCCTCCTGCTCAGCAGCCAGCCGCGCCGCCTTCTCCTCCTGTGCGCGAACCTCGGCCGCAGCCTTCGCCCTCCGCTCCTCCTCGAGCGTGCAAGCAGACGGCGCCTTCTTGGCCTCCTTCTTCTCCTTGGCCTCCTTCTTGGCCGCCGATGCCTCCGCCGCCTTTGCGCGCCGCCTCGCCTTCTCCTCCTCCGCCCTCTTGTCCGCAGCCTCCTTGTCGCGCCGCGCCGCCTCTGCCTGAGCGGCTTTGCGCGCCGCCGCGGCCGCCCGCTGCTCCTCTCGCTGCGCCTCCTCCGCCGCAAGCCTCTCCGCCTCCCTCGCCCGCAGCGTCTCCTCTGCTGCCGCGCGCTCAGCGGCCAGATTTGCCTCCGCCTCCGCCGCAATGGCTCGCCTCTGCTCCTCCAGCGCCGCCGCATTCGCCGCCCGGCGCACCTCTTCCGCCGCTCTCTCCGCCTCCCGCCACGTGCCGCCTGCTCGCGCTCTCGCGCCGCCGCCGCCGCCTCCCTCTCGCGCTGCTCGCGCCGCCTCTTGGCCTCGCGCGCCTTCTCGGCCGCCTTCTCTGCCGCCTCCGCCTCCCTCAGCGCCGCTGCGTGCTCTGTGAGAGCGCGCACGCACCCGGCGTGGTCCGCTTCAGGAGCACTGGCGGCGTCGGAAGTAGCTAGCACCTTGGCCGCCTGCTCCTTGGCGAACTGCAGCGCGGACCAGCCGGCCAAAAAGCGAGCCTTTGCATCTGCGCCAGCCCGAAGCAGGCGGAGCACGACGGCGGGGCAGCCGCTGTAGGCGGCGTTCATCAGCGCGGTGAAGCCGTTGCTGCCCCGCTGGTTGATCTCAGCGCCGTGCCGTATCAGCAGCTCGACCACCCAATCGTGGCCGTGGTTGGCGGCGGCCATCAGCGGTGACGCCGTCGCTGTTCTGCAGGTTGATCTCCGCGCCGTGCTGCAGCAGCAGCTCGACCACCCGCTCGCGGCCTTGGCCGGCGGCGCTCATCAGCGCGGTGAAGCCGCTGCTCCTCTGCAGGTTGACCTCAGCGCCGTGCTGAATGAGCAAGTCGACTACCCGCTCGTGGCCTATGTAGGCGGCGCCCATCAGCGCGGTGCCGCCGTCTCCTCTGCAGGCTGATCTCAGCGCCATGCTGCAGCAGCAGCTCGACCACCAGCTCGCGGCCGTTCTCCGCGGCAAACATCAGCGCGGTGTAGCCGTCGCTGTCCTGCATGTTGACCTCAGCGCCGCGCCGCAGCTATCCTTCAGGTTGACCTCAGCGCCGTGCTGAATGAGCAAGTCGACTACACGCTCGCGGCCGTTCTCGGCGGCGTACATCAGCGCGGTGCTCCCGTTGCTGCTCTGCAGGATGATCTCCGCGCCGTGCCGCAGCAGCAGCTCAACCACCCCCTCGTGGCCTTGGTTGGCGGCGCCCATCAGCAGCGTGAGGCCGCTCACGCCGTCTCTCTGTACGTCGCGTCGACCCGCCCGCCGCCCTCAAGCCACGCTAGCACCGCCTCCTCCTCGCCTCGCTCAGCCGCTAGCACGGCCGCGTCGGAGCATCGAACCGGGGCACCGCTTGGCTTGCGTACAACACCAACGCTGGGTTCGGCTCTTTGGGGGGTAGGATACGGCGGACTCAAAGGCGGCGCGATGTACAAAGAGGAAAACCCCCCACCGCACTGCCTGGGACCCCCTAATGGCTATTGCCTACACGGAACACCACACGCTATACCGCGCGTCTCGGCGCCGGCCTCTGCGGTCCGCGAATATTTTTTGTCGCGACCCGTCGGCGTCGCGGCGCCAGCCACTCTGAGCCACACGAGCCACGCCGCTAGATCGAACAATTTTGCGCGCTATCGAATAATTTTGTAAAAAAGTGTACAACAAGGCAGCAACAAGGTAAACGGGAACAACCGAGGAACTACGATTCAGGAGAGCGACCGGGGGCCATTCTCCGGCTCGCGTGGCTGTGGTGACGGTGGGAATCGTGGGATCGCCCTCGCCCGCCCAGCAACCCCAGCGCCGCGCCCCAACGGAGGTTCAATCGCCCGCTCCCGCCTCGCTTAACGAGGGCGGCAGCCCGGAGGCCGCGGCGTTCCACGGCAGAAAGTTCCACGGCTGGAGCGAAAAGGCGACCCCAAAGTTGGAGACGAGCGGCAGGTCCTCCTGCCGCACGACGTGCTCGCGCCCCACCGCGATCCACGCGACCAGGTCGGCGTCGAGCAGCGACTCGCCGTCGGAGAGGAAGCGGTCGAGGTCCTGCGCGCCGCTCGCCTCCTCGCCGTCGTACTGGACGTACGGCGAGGTGAGGCGGCGCTCGTGGTCGTGGTGCGCCGTCACGGCGAGGTGGTACTTTGAGAAGGGCATCGCGCGCACAAAGGGGTGCTCGTCCGGGAGCACTTGCGTCGTCGCAAATGAGCCGAGCGTGACCGCGTACCCGCGGGGGCTGCCGGCGGGCGAGGCCGCCGCGCGGTCGACAATCGTCCAAGCTCCGGGCCGCCGCGGGTCGGCGACGAAGGTGGAGGCGCCGATGCCCTCCGCCTCCACGTCGCGGTGCGAGAGCACCTTGTACGGGTGGCGCGGCCGCGGGAAGGGCTCGCGCGGCGACGGCGGCGCGTCGCTCGCCCCGACAGAGGTGACGCGCAGAGTGTTTGCGCGCACGCCTCCGATGTCGAAGTCGGCCTTGAAGGCGGCGATGTGGCAGTGCACCGGGCCCGCGAGGCCCGGCCGGAGGAGGGACGAGTAGAGCGACTCGTGCGCCGCGGCGTCGCCTCCCGCCTCGGTGTCGTGATCGGTGTAGTGCCGTGCCTCGATGTAGCCGGCGAAGCGGACGGACGCCTCGATCTCGCCGTCCTCGCGGAACTTGACGTCGGTGATGTAGTCGTAGTTAGCCACCGTTGCGATCGAGCGCACCACGAGTGTCCGCCGCCCGAGCCCTGCGGGTGCGGAGGAGACGGCTGGGGGAAGGAGAGGAGCTGCGCGGAGGAGGGGGCTTGCGCCGCCGCGCACCGCGCACGCGCGGCGGCTCGGTGTTCTGCATGTGCCTCCAGATGGTATGGTCCTCTTGCCACTCGAAGATGCAGGTCGGGTAGAACGGGACCGCCCGCGTCGCGTCCGCCACCGCCGAACCGGTCTCCTGCAGCTGGTACCACGTCGCCGCCTCGAGGTAGGTTGCGCCTGCGAGACCGCGTCATGGACGTGTCATCGGACGTGTCTCGGACAACGCCGCGTCGCCGCCTCGACGCACGCGCCGCTCGGGCAGTCGACGCCGGGCTCGAGCGAGGCGGACAGCATCGAGAGGGACCACGCCGCGTCAGAGTAGAAGAAGGCCTGCGCAGGGGGGTGGCACCCGGCGAATGAGAGAGGCGGCGGGGGGTGGGGGATGCGGGGGGTGCGGGGGGTGCGGGGGGTGCGGGGGGTGCGGGGGGTGCGGGGGGTGGGGGGTGGGGTGGGGGGGTGAGGGGTGGGGTGGGGGGTCGAGGCAGCGAGGCCGCCGCCTCGTCGTCGCCAGAGTAGGCCGCCATCGCGTCCTGCAGCGACAGCTCGTACAGCACCCGCTCCCCTCCAAAAGAGACGTCGAGCAGCGCCGGGCCACTCGACGGCCGCTGCGGCGAGACGGTGAATCGCCAGCCGCCCCACCGGACGCCGCGCTTCGCCTCGACGCGCCGCCGGCCGCTCGGCGCATCCTCGCGCCGCGGCACCTCCCACGGCAGGTTGCCCGTCTCGTTGCGCACGCGGCAGAGCGGCATCGCGCCGCTCTCGCGCGCGGCGCGCAGCTCGGCAGCCTGGACGGGTCGTGGACGGGTCGTGGGCGGGTGAAGAGGCACAGTGGCTGGCGCGCGGCTCGGCGGCCGAAGCGAAGAGCCGGCCACAGAGCGAGACGGAGAGCGCGTGCCACGCCGCCGCGTCCACCTGCGGAGACGTGTCCTGGACGGGTCACGCGTCCCAAGCAGAGGGAGGGGGGTGCCGCGCCGCCGCAAGGACTGCCGCGGTGGCGTTGACTCGGATGCGGAGCGGGAGCGGGTGGAGCCAAAACGACTCGAGCGAGGAGACGCGGCGGGGCGGCAGCCACTGGAAGCGGTAGATGTCGTACCGCTGGCCGGTCGGAGAGAGGGCGTCGTTGACCATCATGCTGATCGCCTCGCCGCGCGCCTCGCGGTCGAACCCGCCCGCTGGCGCGAGGGCGGGGAAGATTGGACCCATCGCCCCGTGCAGGATCTCGCCGCCGATGGCGCGCAGCGTCGCGTCGAGCAGCGGCGCCGCGAGGGCGGCGTCTGCGCCGGGCTCGGTCGGCCGCTTCGAGAGCGGCGTCACGCGCGCAACCTCCTCGACCGTCGCGGAGGGAGCGACCACGCCTCCCGGCAGCAGCGGCCCGACGCGGTACTCGGCGGTCGCGCCTAGGCGCCAGAGGTCGGGCCAGGTCCGGGGTCCGGCCGGGACGGGCGGGTGATGGTGGCGTGGCGGCGCCCTCGGACGGTAGCACGGCCGTCACGCGGGCATGGCGAGGAGGCTGTGCGCCGCCGTCGTCGAGGTACGCGAGCACGTCGCTCTTGGGCGGTGCGAACAGCTCCACCCCACTCGGGCCCGCAATCCACGGCTGGCTGGTGTTGGCGACGAGCCCGCGCCGCGCCGCCGCTCCGGTCGCAGTGATGAAGAAGCGTGCGACCGCAGACACCTCGGCGGGGGTCAGCTCGCCCAGCACGGCGGCGGCGCGGGTGTGCTCGAACGCGGCCGTTGGCGTCGCAGAGTCTTGCGTCGGGCGGCTGAGGTGTGAGCCCACCTGCTGAGCCACGAGCGCCGCGGCTGCGCCACAGAGGGCTGAAGCGAGCAGCGCCGCCGCGGACGGGAAGAGCGGACGGCCGGGGCTGAAGACGAGCGAGTCCTTGGGGTTGGACATCTACGCCCACATCTACGCCCGGGGACTAGACGCGAGAGGTTGCCAGCCGACCGTCTTGTGCAGGGGAGAAATGCCGAAGGGACGTGTTTCGTGGAGGACTGAGAGGGAGACGACGCCGCGCTCTCTCTTCTTGCGCCGGCACTACACAGAATCTGCTGGAGCGTGTAGGCCGGAGAGGCACACACGAGAGCGGGGCGAGCGGCGAGGGCCGAACCAGCCGAACACTGAGAAAGGGAGTCGCCACGACTCGTTCGTAGGCTAACCACAGTCGCACCGCGGGGCTGTGCCGCGGCACTCATCTCTGCCTGCGCGTTCACTCTCTTCCGTTTGGCATACGCCGGCCGCGGCGCGGCTGTCCACGCCGCGCCCATCGGCCGCCGGTCGGCCGGTCGGGCAGTCTACTTGAGCTTCATGTTGCCGTACAGCGCGCCGACCTCGGTGCCCATCTGACCCTCGATCGCCTCCGTCGGCGGGTCGCCCGCGTTGCGGCGCTGCTTCGGGTTGAAGGAGCCGCCCTTGACCGTGTCCTGCTCCTTGGTGATCTTCGCCAGCGCCACAAACTCCTTGACGGCCGCCTGCGCTCCCGACGAGTCGCCCGCCTTGGCCGCCTTGACCGCCTTGTCGCCCAGCGCGTTCAGCTCCTTGGAGAGGGGCTTCTTCTCCTTGAGGCCGGCGTAGGCGCCCTCCGCAAAGATCTTGAAGGCATTCTTCTCCGAGAGAATCGTCGCGGCGTCGGCGCTCTGCAAACGCCACACACGCGAGCCCTGCTGGATGAAGACCTTCTCGCGCGTGTTCTTCGACGCAGCGCCATCCGCAAAGGCGGCCGCTGGGGCGAGCGCAGCCGCGCCCGCCGCCGCGACGGTCGAGAGGAGGTCGCGGCGCGAGGTCTCGGCAGCCATGACGACCGGCGCCGGCGCGCGGACCTGCACCGCCATGGGCGTCAGGCCCGGCGAGCAGACGAGCGCAGAAGCAGCGACGGTGGCGGCGGCAAGCATGTATCTGAGAGAGAAGCCAGAAGATCTCCGCTTGCGAAATGCGGCAGCGAAAGAATTTTTCGCTCACGTACAGGTTGGGACCTGGCAGTCAGTTCGGCTGAGTGTCTTGTCTTGTGGTTCTGTGTGTCGCTCCTGTGTGACCGTCATCGCCCGTCTAGCGTCCACCCATACCGCGTTGGTGTCCCAGTCGTTGGTCGGACTGTGTTTCGCCTTCCCATCAATGTTCGTTTACAATTATGTGATGTGGAGTCTGGCCGCGCGGCGGGCGGCGGGACGGACGTAAGATAATGAATCGATGATGCGATCAGGCGTAACAAGCGCGATTGCACAAGGGGTGGAGGAGGGTCTGGCCACCACGGGGCGAGGGAGGCGGTGGGCCAGATGCCGGATCCGCTGTGCGCGTTTGTCGGTCAGGGCGCGGCGCTGACCGCGGCGGCCTGGGCCGCGGCGGCGGCGAACGCCGACGGCGGCGGACCATTCCAGCGGCTCGGCGAGGGCCGGGGCGCGGCGTTGCGTGCGCCGAAAGGCGAAAGAAGCCGCGAGAACAAGGGACCGGCAGGCGGCGGCGTCGCAGGACGAGGCAGAAGGGAACGACGCGACAGAGGAGGAAGTGACAAGGGAGAGAACGACGAGAGTGGGACGACCGCGAGGTGGCATGAAGGTTGCAGCGAGAAGCGGCGAGAGACTGCGAAGAGAGATAGGAAGAGGCAGACTCCCTAGGGTGGGCGACGGCTAGCGCATCACACACCTCTCCTTAAAATCCCTGTGTGGTGGCGGCGTGCCGTCCTCCCATCCCTCCCTTGGCTTGTCTGTTTTCTTTCTTTCTTTGTGTTAGTGCCAGTGCGCGCCAGTCCCGTGCCCAGTGTTGTGCGAGGGAGTTTTGTTGTAAAATTCTTTCTTTCTGGGGACCCTGTCCTCCTCCCCCATCCCTCGTTTGGTTTTTGTCGCCTTTCTTTCTTTCTTTTTCGTGCAGGTGGGCACCTTGTCCTTCTCCCACCCCTGGTTGGCGTGCGGCTCCGGCTCAGGTCGTGGGGCATAGCTCGGGTGTAAACGGGGTCTGGGCAGCGGCCCGCCGCAGGCGCCGCCGGAGGCTGGCCCGCCGCAGGCGCCGATTTTTTTTGGCGATTTTTGCTCAAAATTGAGATATTTCTCATCAAATTCTCATCAAAATCGAGCTCGCTACGAGCTCTCTAACTGCACAGCACTCCTCGTTGAGCCTAGCGGCGCCCGTATCGCCCACGCCAACATTCTTCTTCTTCTTCTTGCCCTTCTTGCCCTTGGGCCCTTGCTGCACTTAGCCGCTCAACCTCCGCCAGCAGCAGCTCCTTGACATGCCGCGCCGCCTCCATCTGCTTTGCTTCCCACGCTGCCGCTTCCTCTAAAGCAGCGCCGCCACTAAGCGGCGCAACCAAGTTCTCGCATTGTTTGCATGAGCACGTGTCCTGCTTGGCGCGGCGCACAATCCGCGCGCGGCGAGTGAGGTGCGTGAGAGCAGAAGACTGACAGCAGGAGCTGCAGCAGCTGCAGGAGCTGCGCGGGTCGGATGGGCGGTGACGCCGTCGAGCGACGGCGCAAAGGTCAATCGCTGCTGCTGCGCCAACGAGAGCGGCGACACGAGGCTGCTGGCAGCTGGCAGAGCGAATCGCGATTCCGGCGGCCGCCGTCAGCCCGCCGACACCGACGGCCTGGCTGAGGTCAAACTCCTCCACACGTCGGACCAGCCATGCGTCGGCCACGGCGACGAGACGTCTGTATGCAGACAGCCCGACACCGGGCGCGCTCTCGTGGCCCGTGGCGCGAAACCCAGGTGAATAGGGCGGGCTGCGGCGGGCGCATAACTATTCACAGCTTATGAAAACCGGAAACACTAGAGTCTGCAGAAGAGTTCGAGTGGTCTTCGTGCTCAGAAGGATTAAGAGAGCTCTATTCACACCCTTTGTGCGTTGAAGACCACAGGCAATGCCCGTTTACACCCAACCGACGAGTCGCTGGGCTCTGACCTGAGCCGGAGCCTGCCCTTCTTTATTTCTTTATTTGTTTTATTATTACACCTTTACACGAGCCTCCTTTGCGCTTTGATCTCTGTTTTCTTTCTTTATTACATACACGAGGCAAGGGAGAAGGGACTGGCGCGCACTGGCACTAACACAGGTACACCACGGGAGCCGCTAAAAGAAAACGGGCTTCGTGGGCTTCCCACTCCTTTCGAGCCAGGGGATCAGGAGAGCGATGAGTTGTCAGAGGATGAAACGGCAGGAGAAAGAACGACGAGAGTGGAAAGACTGTGTGGCATGAAGGTCGCTGCGAGAACCGAGAATTGAATTGGCGAGAGACTGCGAAGAGAGATAGCAGATAGGTCGCATAGGTGAAGAGGCAGACGCCCAAAGGGTGGGCGACGGCTAGCACCAAACACTCCTTCTCCTTAAAATCCCTGTGTGTGGTGGCGGCGTGGGGTGCCCTCCTCCCATCCCTCCCTTCGCTTCGGTACTTGTGGAGCACTTGGAGTGCGGTCGGCAGCCTCACATCCAGGGCCCCGGGCGGACTAAGAAAGAGGCGCGCCCACGGGCCGCGGATCGCGGATGCTCGCTCGGGATCGGGCTACGAGCGAGACGGCCGTTCCGGGCATTTGAACGCGCGACCTTCCGGGCACCGGGGGCAAAGACATGGGCTCTCTATGGCTCAGACTGGAGACTCCTCTTGGTCCCTTCTGATGCCCTAGGCCACACCTCTGGACCTGCGACCTGGGGGCCTTCCTGGGGTTCTAGAGGGGCCTGGCAGGGTCTGCCCTCCGAAAGTGGCGGCATGAGCCCCATCATGACATGATGTCATCACGAGGAACCTTACCCGTTACCGGTGTGCTTATAGATTGGGCTGGGCCAGCCGTTTGAGTTCGCTCGCGACGCTCCTCCTCCTGGAATGTGGAAAAAGCTACATGATTGTAAGGCAGGGCCCCCCAGGGGTAAAAAGAAGTTCGGTTTATTTTTTCTGTCTTTGGTGGGCGGGGCCGATTCCGGCGAGGTTGGAGCTCCTGCTGAGGATGTCGTTACGGAAGGCCCGCTCCATCGCGCTCACGGGCCCCGCCCAGCGCGTCGTCTCGTTAAAGTGCACAAAGATGCTCCGCTCGCGCGACTTTGCGCGTCGGTGGCGGAGCGACAACAATCGGCTGCGATTGGAGGGGAAGGGCGCGAGTTGGTTCCAAAAGGAGGGCGCCTCCTGCCATCGCTTCCAGCCCACGTCGACAATCGCCGCATCGGCGGCGTCCACGCACGGCCCGCCGACGCGCGCGGCGAAGGGGCAGCCGGGGACCTGCCGCATGGCGAAGCCGCGCGTCTCGAGGTCGTCGAGCATCTCGACGGTGTGCGAGTTCTGGCGCACCCCGGCGCGCGTGTACATGCGGTTGATCTCGAGCTGCACCGCGCGCACGCGTCCCGAGTCGAGCGTGCGCTTCGCGGTGCGCATCACCTGCGGCTCATAGCCCTCGACATCCACCTTAAGCATATATACCGGGCGCGGCGCGCGGCCGCGACCGCCGTCGTGCGACGCGTCGGCCGCCGCCAGCACGTCATCGATGCGCAGCGAGGGCGCCGTCACCGCGTACGCGCCACCCGGCTCGGCGTCGTTGGGATTGCGCTTGAGCACGCCATAGCGGCCGGACATGCCCGTCATGCCGAGCGTCTTCAGCGTGCCATTCGGCTCCTCGTCCGTTGTCATCGCGACCGGTACGCTGATATTGTAGACGCCCTGCGTGTCGTAGACAACCGCGCGGTGGATCTGGACGCGCCCTGCCAGCTTCGGGTTGAGACTCAACGCCTTCCGCATGATCGCAACGTGCGCGGGCACCGGCTCAAAGGTGATCACCTCACAGCCGATGGTCGCCGACAGCAGCGCGTACCAGCCGTAGTTTCCGCCGACGTCGATCGCGAGCCCGTTCTCCTGCCGGCAACACTGCCACGTCAGCTCGTGCCACACTCGTGTCAGCGCGGGCTCGACGATGCCGCGGTGCTTCTGCATCCGGTGCATGTCGGCGTCGAGCGGATCATATACAAAGGAGAAGTTGAGCGGCCGCGGCACGGTGGCGGTGCGAAGGCGCGCGGCCTGCGCCGTCGCGTTTTCATTCAGCGCGACCAGACACACTAGGGGGTTGTATCAGAGGGGGGGGGTCTGAGGCAAGGGGGCCCAGATCTGCTCGTCTCAGAGGGTACCCTCTGTGCCAAGAGAGGCCATCCACGAGCGGCTCAGAGGGTGCCTGGGCCGACCCTCTGAAGGCCTGTGCCGCCAAGCCAGCCTCTCTCGGCGCAGCCTCTGAGGCTACGGGGACCCTCTGAGACGCCAAGGCAAGCCCCGCGAGGCCGCTCCTCAGAGGGAGTTTTCAGCGGTATTTCAAGTCTGTCGTGATCCCCCACCAAGCAGAGAGAACCCCCCCCAGCCAAGCAGAGAGAACCCCCCCCCCAGCAGGCCCAGCTTCCATTGGTTTCGGATACCTCAAGTTCGAGTTCACTAGGACGCCGCGGCGCCTCATGGCCAAGCTGGAGCAGGGGGCGGATGTGGAGATCACTACCTCCTCCTCGGGCGGCCGCTCCAAGCACATCCTCACTCAAGTTGACGGGTCGGCGGCGCCGCTGCGCGCTGGCCGCGCGAAGCTGTCGCGCAGGGGTCGGCGCGGGCGCTGTGGGCGAGCCTGCAGCAGCAGCAAGCGTAGAGTAGCGCCTTAGTCATGCTCGCTGCTTCCGCCCCCTCCCCGCCCTCCCTGGTCAGCGCCGTTCGTGGAGGGCTAGGCGCTCCGGCCTCCGCCCGGGGCTCTCGCGACTCGCCTCTGTCTGCCGAGAGGGAGGGGGCTACCCTCTGAGGTCAACGCCCTCTGTGCCGCGCCAAGACAGACCCTCGGCCGGGGACCCTCTGAGGCCAAAATCAGCCAAGAGAGGCCACAGAGGCGGCACAGAGTCAGAGTCAAACCCTCTGTGCCGCCAAGGCAGGGGTCCGACCCGTCCTCAGAGGGGGGTCTGAGGCCTCAGAGAGTGTATAACCCCCTAGTCCAGACACATAAATATTGTGTTTTTTTTTCGAGGAGAGACGCTGTTCACATAAACGCACAACCCGGGTCCCCGAGACGCTCTTCACGTAAACGCACAAACCCCGGGTACCACAACCCGAAATCGCAAAGACACAGGGGGAGGGAAGGCGAGGGAAAACCTCTCCTAAGCTCTTCACACAAAAACACAACCCCGGACGCTAGACGCATAAGCATAGACAAAAACAAGCCGAGCTCAGGCTCGCCGCGGCGTCGGAGGACGCCACCGTCGCCTAGACTCCCTTGCGTCACTACGTGCAACCCCCCCGTGTTTCCCGTTTGTGCCGCGTCCCGTGCCCCCGAGTTCATTAAAAAAAACAAGCGATCATCTGGCCCGCTGGGTGTGCTTCTTTGCCCCCTGGTCCCCTGGATGTGAGGCTGATGACTGCACTCCAAGTGCTCCAAGTGCAAGCATAGACACATATAAAGCACAACCCGGGTGGCACAGTGACAGTCAGACGCTCATCACAGATGCGAGACACGTGTTCGAAGAAGTAGAAAACGCGGCGAACTGGGCCTGATGCCTGGCGTTCCAAGCCAGCCCCATGCCGAGGGCAGCGTCTCCATCCACGGCTCCTGAAATAGTTTGACTGCGGCTGCGATTTTATTTGATGACAAGCATCGTCTGAGGAAGCTCTGATCGGTACTCACCGGGACGCTGGTTGGTTGGTGAGGTGACGGTGGGTGGGAGGGCACCCCCCGCACAGACAGCCCCCCCGATCACAGATCACAACCAAGCAGGGCGGAGGACGGACGAACTACAGCATGGGCTGCAGCGCCTCCTCGCACTTCCGATGCCCCGTCGCGTTTCCGTGCCGCACACGGAGATCCGACCGAATGCCTCAGGGCTTTGGGCGTCGTCCACCTGCCCCAGCCATCGCGTTGCAGTGATGATTGTCGGTGAGCTCGACGCTCCTGCTTTTCACTCGTTCATTGTGAGCTCGCACTGGCTGTCGCACGAACGTCACGTCGTCCGGCCGCTGACGAACAATGCGACCGCTGCCGTGGACACGTTCATCTGTGCCAACAGCAAGGTGGAGCAGCTGCCTGCCAACATTCTCAATCGACTTCAGGTGCGCGTGGCGACGAGCATCTCGAAAGCCAGATCGCTCACCCACCGCCAGACGCTGTGCTTCGAAGCCGCGCAAGAGTGGCAGCAGCAGCAGCAGCAGCAGCACGACGGAGCGCTAATTCAGTGCACATTTTCACATTACCTGTGGACGCGCTTCGACCACGAGTGGTTTGCAGACGCGCCGCCGCCATCCGCGCTACCCACCGATGCGCTGGCTCTGCGAGCGCGCCTGGTCATTGGCGACGTCGCGGTGAGCACTGACATGATGAGCTGGTTACGGTGTGGCATGTACACGGGCACTGGCGGCCGGCTGTGCGGCTCCGCTGCCACTACGGTGGCAAAGGCGCGTGAGGATGGGCACAACCAGACTTCTAACAAGGAGTGCGTCATCCTCGACGACCAGGTTGGCATCGTGCCGGCGAACCTCGCGCATGCCTTTTTCGCCTCACACGCCTTCGGACAGGACGCCTTCGGACAGGACGGCGTGCTGCCCAAGACCAACCGCAGCCCGGCAGTGACGGTGCACGTACCCGTGCCGCCCGGTGAGACTAACCTGTCGTCACGCGCAGCAGAGTCAGAGGTGACTGAACACACTTGGAACGTTTGTCCTGGGACGTGCTGGCAGTGGCAAATCAACAGCGGCGAGGGCCGCATCAGCCATCGAATCGCACACAAGCGCCTCCCTGTGCGGCTCACGCCAATGCGGGTGCGACTGCCCAAAATCAATCGGCACGGCAAGATTGCTTTTCACGTGGCTCAAGGAGCTGCGCCCTGGGTGAGATGCCCCTCGTAGTGTCGCGACTTCGACGGTGGGTACACAGCGGGGTCCTTGAGATGCGCGTGAACTCAAGCGTGTTGCAAGAGGCTAATATATCTGACCACGCGCTTTAGTCGGAGCTGATCGGATGCGTACATGCTGTATCTGCAATCACTTTACGGCTTCTGAGCTGGAACTCCGAGAAGTCACTCCGTGTCTTGTGCTCTGCCGGCACGCGCTGCATTTGAGGCGCTGCTGCAGGAGCATGCTGCACGCTGCAGCGACGCTTGGACGAGTCCAAAAGTCCATTCGCGTGACCGGGCAATCAACAGTGTTTCCCCTGCAGAGTGGCACGGCTTGGAATTATCTCGCTAGCCTCGCGCCGGGAAATTGAATGTCGCCTGGGGTCCTCGTGCTTTTCTTTCTCTCCTGCCCGATCGCTCTTCCTGGGTGCGAGACATGCAGAAGAGAAGAGAATTTGTGAATTTCTTGTTGGTTTTCAAAAAATCTGTTTAAATCTCTCTCTGCCAGTACTCAAAACACTCACACGTCATTTGGGGCCTGGAGCCCTGTTCACGCGCGCGCGAGACGTGCAGACAGGGTTGCCAGGTGAGAGCGAATGGCGCGGTTTACGCCTCGCACAACAGAGAGAGAGATGCGCTCTGCATGGTGGGACATAAAAATCTCTCTCTCCAGTACTCTGCAAGGATACCCATCTCACAGTAGAGAGGTGTCCGTTTTATTTATTGGTTATGCAAGGACGAAGCATGGAGGCTGCGCGCTGCTAGCGCGTCGGCGGGGGTGGCGCTGCCATATGCAAGCGCACTTGAGGCCGTCTGACGGTCCTGGTCGCTTCAGCAACGCCACTACACCCCACGAGTGTCGCTCGTCTGGAAAGCGAGGGCCTCGTCTCCAGCCCGGCTGCGGCCGGGCACCTGGCGTCCACCACGGGCGTGCACAGAGGGTGCAGCGGTGGAAGATCCCAACTCATGTCATCTACTCGCAGAACGCACGTGGGCTCAAGACCGACAGCGCTCTCACCGAGGCTATCGACGCTCTCCGACACCGCTCAGGCTTCTCTGCCGGGCTGCAGGAGACGTGGAGAACGGGCCTGGAGGAGATTGAGGAGGACGGCTTCGTCTTCCTCGGCGCTGCACCCGCTGTACAGAACGGACGCGGCTCAAAAGGAGTCGGCATCCTGCTCTCGCCACTGGCTGTCGCTGCGTGGCGAGCAGCTGGAGCCGTTGTGCACAACGACGTAGGCCCGCGGGTTATCGCAGTGCGTATGGAGGTTGAAGATTCGGCTGGCAGGAAGCAGGGACTGTTTCAAGTGGCGTCGTATGCGCCTATCTCGACAGCCCCGGACACCGAAAAGGACGAATATGAGACCGCTCTCGCCTGTGTGCTCTCGCGACGGCAGTCCGGCGACATTGTGATTGTTTGTGCTGACACTAACGCGAGCATCGGACGCGGCTGCCTTGGCGGCCAAAATGTCAACTACGGTGCGGTCGGTTCCGTTCGGCCGGGGCGTCCTGGGCGGGCAAACGCCCGCCCCGGCGGCCGACTCTGGGATTGTAGGTCGAGTCTTGGTGGTACGGAGACGGTCACGAGACGGGACGGACGGGACCTCCGGACTCTAGGACGACGCCACGGGACTCTAGGAGAGAGAGTGTGAAGGGAGTCTGGCGGGGCTTTGGCCCGACGTCCCCCCCCTCGACGAGTCGACGTACGGCTCTAGTCGAGCAACCGTAACTCGCTTCGTTAATCTCTCCGGACCTTCGATGTGAGTCAGGTCGGAGTCCATCGGCGGAGTCGTCGACATTGTGGTCGACGGCGTGTGCGAACCGATAGCGCAGTGGCGTGTGTTGGCGAGCGAGCCGAAGGCGCGGGAGAGAGAGAAAGTCGAGAAAAACTCTCTCGGCGGAGTGGTCGACATCGTAGTCGACGGCGTGCGAACCAATTGCGTAGCAATCGTGTGGATCACCGGTATTACATACGCCCTGGCGAGCTGGTGCATCCACTTGGTTGCTGTGAAGAATTGAGTCCGGTCGTTGTCGCGGTTGTGAAAAAAAAATCGTCGTGTTGACGCAAAAAAAATATGTTGATGCCGTGCCAGTGGCCGGGGCATCATCTGACGAATCGGTAGCGTAGCGGCGTATACCGGAATTGTGGCCAGATAGGTCAAAGCGGTCGATACGAAGCGAACCAATTGTATAGCGGCGTGTGTCGGCGAGAACCTGTCCGGGACCAAAATCCCCCCCTTCAATGTAGTCGCGAAGCTCTGGAGGAGATTGACTGGTCGCAGCTGCGGGTGGCGGCTGGCTGACTGGTCGCCTTCTGGACTCTCGATGCAAGTTACATTGGAGCCCACCTGCGGAGCGTTGGAAGGGGCCGAGGTGTCTGACCGGGGTAGGTCGGTGGCGTAGCTTCGGCATCCGGTGCGGCTGTTTGGTAGGCTGACGTTGCCCTCGGTGGCGGAACGGAACAAGGGGCGTGACATGGGTGGCCATACGTGGGCCGTAACTGGAGGTGGAGCACGGCGAAGTGATGCACGGCTGATTGAAGCGGGGCCGAGCATCGAGTGCGGTTGGATTATGGCGAGAGAATGGATAGACTTCTCTGAGGGCAATTTGTTGGGCCTCGGCGTGTGTAATGTAGCACCATTCGGGGCTGGTCCCAGCGCACTCCTCCATGGTGCACTCGCCACGGATGAAGCGCTCGACAAAGCGTGAATCGTCAGCTTTGCCGCTGCGGTCGCGGGGTTCTTTGAGTCCAGCGGTGAACCAGGATGCGCCGCCTGGTTGTTCGTCCTGTCGCATGGCTTGCGCGTGGCCGGATGGATCGCAGCGTGGTCCGGCGGAGTCGAGTGCAGCCAAGATGCGGAGCCCGGGTTGGGGGTGCCCAAATTTGACGATGGCACCGGAGGCAGGTGTGAAGCCTCTGTCGAGGGCGGAGTTGACAGGGAAGACACTGTCGGAACAATGCCCGAGCCTCCCGGGAGTACTCGAGACATCGTCGACAGAGGGGTCGAGGGTAGAGCCGGCACGATGTCCCATGGCTTCGTGGTGCTCAGCGACGCCGGTGTTTTGGCTTCCGGTAGCGGGAAGTGGTACACTCCTGTCACCGTCGGCAACGGCGGCAGGCACGCAGGTGCGTCGCATGGGGCGGAGGTCGTCGCCCGGTTCGAAGGTGCTTGAGTTGAGTCGCTCGACAGCGTGAGCGACGGCGATGACCCGCGCGTCGGCGACGCTGTTGCGTGCAGCGCGCTCGGCCTTTCCTTGGATGGGAAGGGGCTTGGCGGGTTGGCGGGGTGCGGGAGGCGGTGCTGTCTCGTTGACCTCGTCGTCGGGTTTGGCAAGCTCGGTCCATGGGCCGCTAACGGCTGAAGCGTGCGATCCTGGCGCGACGTGCTTTGGCTCTCTCCAGTTGTGGCGTGGGAGGAGGCGTGCGCGCTCGGTGAAGTTCTCTGAGTTTGCATGGTGCTTGCTGGAGATGGCGTAGGCGACAATGGCGTTGAGTCGCGAAGGCCGGGTGGAGCGCTCCTTGGAACGCCAGGCGCCCTCGGTGTGCCTCCCGGAGGTGCGCTTGGCGTGGTCGATGTGGTGTGGGCACTCAAGGCCGTCGAGCTGAGCGGCGGCGAGAAGGCCGACAGCAGCAGAGCCATCGGCGGAGCGGCCGACGGCGCTGGAGCCATCGGCGAGGCCGTCGAGTCGAGCGACGGCGAAGCGGCCGACAGCAGCAGAGCCATCGGCGGAGCGGCCGACGGCGCTGGAGCCATCGGCGAGGCCGTCGAGTCGAGCGACGGCGAAGCGGCCGACAGCAGCAGAGCCATCGGCGGCCGGTCGTGGACCGCTTCAAATATCTTGGGAGCTACCTCAACCGCGACTGCAGCGACGGGCTCGACGTCGACAGCCGGATCGAGTCGGCAGGCCGAGCTTTTGGCGCTCTTCGGAAGTGCCTTTTCAGCTCGAGGGACGTCTCGTTTGCCGCCAAGCGCGCGGTCTACACCTCGCTCATCCTCTCCATCCTGCTCTACGGGTGCGAGTGCTGGGCGCTCACCGAGCGCCTCCTCCACCGTCTCCGCGTCTTCCACGCACAGTGCGTGCGTGCGATGTGTCGTGTCACTCGCAAGCACGTGTGGGAGCACCACATCACGACTGGCGAACTCTGCGCCAGGCTAGGTCTCGACTTCATCGACTACTACATCGACCGACGCCGGCTGGGCTGGCTCGGGCATGTCAGCAGGATGGATTTCAATCGCCTACCTCGTCGCATGCTCTCATCGTGGGTGCCTCACGGCCGGCCGATCGGGTGCCCCAACATGACGTTTGGGCGCAGCATCCGCACCGCGCTCGACAAGTTCCACATCGACCGCTCGAGGTGGCCCGAGCTCGCCGCCGATCGCTCGGCCTGGCGCCAGGCGCTGGAGAACAGGCGCCCGCCCGACGCCTTCTTTGCCATGCCAGCGAGGGCTAGGCCGCCCTCCCCGCGCATTGCGCGCGCTAAACCAGTGCGCTCATGCTTGGCGAGAACCAATGCAGCGATGGACAGCTCGCTACAGGCGCTCGCGGGGTCGTGAGTGGGGGTCCCCACCGCTGCCCCTCTGACTAAACTTTTGTCTGTGGTGATGCCTTTCCCTGAGAACGCACACAACGCCTCGTGTGTAATGCCCTGTGTTTCCGCGAGTGCGTGTGCCCCGTCGTCCATGCTAGGACGTGTGTAACACTGACTGACTGACTGCAAGGACGAAGCACACACCATCTGGAGGCACACCATCATCAAGCTGCTGCTGTGGTTCGGCCCCGCCCGGCATCGCCTCCCCTGGCTTAGCCGTATAGACTAAGAGATATTGTGCACATGCGACATCGTCAGTCTCTACAACACACAACGATACTTTCCTCCAGAGCCTCCCGTCCCGGTCCGCCACGGCCACCCTTGGCCTCCGGCCGGAGCGCGGAGAGCCCCCGGCCGCGGCGCGGTGCGGCGCGCCACAAAGGAGAGAATGCCCACCCAAAGCTATCATCTGCGTCGCCGGCACGAGATGGTCACGCTACCCAACGCGGCCAAAGGATATCCACCTCGAGAACCTCGCGAGAGAGATGGTCACGCAGGGTTCACGGTGCACGTGAGCGACTTTCATGTCCAAGTAAAAGGTTGCTCAGCGGCGCCGGGCCATGCTTGAGGCCGCGAACGACGCGCTCGTGGTTTCGCTGAACGACAAGATCAATGCGGAGAAGCAGAAGGCGCGCGACAACCTCCGCAAGCTGATGGAGGCAAAAAAGGAGGCCAAGGAGGCCGTCAGCGCGCGCGACGCGCTCGCGGCGCGGCTCGACGAGGCACTCGCGGCCAGAGACGCCGCGCCCGTCGCGGACGCCGACGTGACGAGGCGGCTCCTCGAGCGCGAGCTGGAGGTTGAGTCGCTCTCGCTCAGCCTCGCGGCGCTCTCGGCGGAGCGTGGCGTCGAGGAGCAGCTCGCCTCGTACGAGGCGCACATCGCCCTGCTGATGGCGCAGAACGACGCGCTCCGAGACCGGGCGGGCTTGTCGGCCGACGACCTCGTCCCCGTCGTCATCGCCGCGCGCCACCAGAGCGGCGGCGGCGGCGACGCGGCCGGAGCCGTCGACCCAGAGGCACTCGCCGCGGCGGTGCAGTCGGCGAGGGACGAGGCAGCCGCGGAGGCGGCTGCGGCGGGCGCTGCCGCGCTGGCGGCGGCGGTGGAGGAGGCGAGGGCGGCGGGCGAGGCGGCCGTCGCAGCGGCGGTGGAGCAGGCGAGGGCGGCGGGCGAGGCGACCGTCGCCGCGGCGGTCGAGCAGGCGAGGGCCGAGGCGGCGGCAGAGGCGGCGGCAGAGGCGGCGGCAGAGGCGGCGGCCGGCGCCGGCGCTCTGGGCGCCGAGGCGGAGGCGGAGCTGGCGCGGCTTCGGGAGGAGGGTGAGGAGGCGCGGAGGCGCGCGGCCGAGGAGGTGCAGGCGGCCAGACTCGAGGCCGAGGCGGCGGCCGAGGCGGCGATGGAGCTGGAGGCGGCGGCCGAGGCGGCGCGGCTCTCTGCCGAGGAGGAGCTGGCTGCGGCGGTCGAGGCGGCTCGAGTCCAGGCGTGCGGCGGGGCGGGCGGGCGAGGCGCCGCGCCCCTCGGGTGGGTGAGGACTTCTGAGGTGCGACGCGTAGGCGGAGCGGGAGGCGACCGACCGCGTCGAGGCGCGCGCAGCGGGGGAGATGGCGGAGGCGCTTCGTGCGGCGGCGGCTCGCGCGGCGGCGGCGACAGAGGCCGCCGTCGCGGCGGCGGCGGAGGAGGCTGCGGCGGAGGCGCTCCTCCAGCGGGAAGAGGAGCAGGCCGCGGCTGTGGCGGCGGCGCAGTCGGAGAGCCAGCTCGAGGCCGCTTCGGCCGCCCTGCTCAGCGGCGAGCTCGAGCTGCTCAAGGGGCGGCTACAGGCGCTCGCCGGCGACAAGGCGACTGCGGAGGAGCTAGTTGCAGCATGATGATGCGACGACGACGAGAATGAGACTAGTACCAAACTAGTACTGGTACTAACGAGAACAGTGACGGCACCAGGCGACTGCGGAGGAGCGGGCGGAGGCGAGCCAGGCGAGGCTGCTGGAGCAGGCGGAGGAGCTGGAGGCGCTGCGTGCGCAGCTGCAAGCCGAGGCGGCGAGGGGCGCAAGCCAGGAGGAGGAGGTCGCCAGGGCGGCGGAGGGTGAGCGGCGGGCGGCCGAGCTCCAGGCGCAGCTCGATCATCTGTCGGGCGAGCTGTCTGGCAAGGAGGCGGCGCTGGATGGCCTGCGGGCAGAGGTGGAGAAGGAGAGGGAGCAGTCGGAGGCCGGCGACGCCGGTCAGAGGGTCGCCGAGCAGAGGGTCGCCGAGCTGGAGAGCCAGCTGGAGAAGCTCTCGGGGCAGCTCTCGAGCGCAGAGGCTGAAGTTGAGACGGCGCGGGCGGCGGCTGCGGCAGAGGCGGAGGCGGCTGCTGAGACGCGCACGGCGGCGGCTGCGGCGGCGGCGGCGGCGGCTGCGGCTGCGGCAGAGGCGGAGGCAGCTGCTGAAGCGCGAGCGGCGGCGGCGGTGGAGGCGGCGGTGATTGCGGCGTCGCAGGAGGCTGCAGCCGCAGCACAGGCCGAGGCAGCAGGACGTGAGGGTGGCCAGGCGGCGGCGGTGGCGGAGGCGGTGGCGGCGGCGGTGGCGGCGGCGCGGGCGGAGGCTGCGGCGGCGGCGGCTGCGGCTGCGGCAGAGGCGGAGGCGGCTGCTGAAGCGCGAGCGGCGGCGGCGGTGGAGGCGGCGGTGATTGCGGCGTCGCAGGAGGCTGCAGCCGCAGCACAGGCCGAGGCAGCAGGACGTGAGGGTGGCCAGGCGGCGGCGGTGGCGGAGGCGGTGGCGGCGGCGGTGGCGGCGGCGCGGGCGGAGGCTGCGGCGGCGGCGGCTGCGACTGCGGCAGAGGCGGAGGCGGCTGCTGAAGCGCGAGCGGCGGCGGCGGTGGAGGCGGCGGTGGAAGAAGCTGTGGCGGTGGCGACGAGAGAGGCGGCGGCGGCAGGCAGGGCCGAGGCGGAGGCGGAGGCGCGGGCGCTTGCAGCGGCTGCCGCGGAGGTGGCGGCGGCAGAGCGCTCCTCGGCGGTGGAGGCCGCCGTAGCGGCAGTCAAGGCAGAGGCGCGTGCCGAGGCGTCGGCGGAGGCGGAGGCGGCCGTGAATCAGCTCCGCGAGGAGCAGTCGGAGGCGGTCGAGGCAGCCCTCGCGGAGCAGAGCCAAATCGCGGAGAGGGAGGCCAAAGCCGCGCTCGAAGCGGCGGCGAGTGAGCGAGCGGCGGCCGTCGCCGCCGCCGTCGCGGATGTGCAGCGCGAGGCGGCGGCCGCGCGTGAAGCTGCTGTGGCAGAGGCGACGGCCGCCGCCGCTTCCACGGCGAGGGCGGAGGCGAGGGCGGAGGCCGACAAGGCGGCGGCAGAGCGCGAGGTGGCGTTCTCGGCCGAGCAGGACGAGGCTTGTCTCTCCCTCTGCCGCCCTAGCAGCCCTCCCCGCCCCACTCCTGCTGGCGGGAAGCTTGCTCACCATTCCTCTCCTTGCCCTGCAGCTCCTCGAGGCGAACGGCAAGCTGGAGGAGCAGGCACGCAGCTCGCCCGCCGAGTGCCAGTAGCCAGAGTGCTCCGATTCCCTGAGCAAGAGAGCGGTCAGGCCGTTGGTAGAGAGATTCACAGCATCGGCGCAACGGGCGCACATCTTTGTTAGGTGCGCGAGCTGCAGGCTGGGGCGGCGGCCGGTGGCGAGGAGGCCATTCGCGCCGCTGTCCTCGCTGCTGAGCAGGAGGCTGCGTCTGCAGCAGAGGCGGCAATCGCGCAGGCCAAGGCGGAGGCGGTTGCGGCAATGGCGGAGCGCGAGGCCGCCTTCTCGGCGGAGCAGGACGAGATGTTTTCGACCATCGCGAAGCTCGAGGAGGAGAATGAGGCGCTCAAGGCTGCAGCCTCATGAGCGCAGCAATTTCGATGCTGCTCGCCCTGGGAGCGGCTGCTCCGCGGCTCTGCAGGGCGACAGGGAGAGAAGAGGAAGAGCCGGCCCGTGCTCGATCCGTGCCACCTTGCTTTCCGTCGGGTCAGGCGACGTGCGCAGGTCGGCGTTGAGGGCGGGCGCTCCGTTGGCGGGGACGTGCGCCTTGCGCGTGTCTCGCTAGTTCTCGCGCGCGCTTGGTCTTGTGTGATTTTATTTTTCTACGTGGTTCGTGGCTGGGATCATGCGCGGAAGCCGGAACGGTCTCGCGCTGGCAGTAAAAAACGCCGTTCTCCCAATCCCGGGCGTTCGCCCTTTCCCTGCGAACGCGCACCCCCGGGGCGGCTAGCCTAGGGCTCTCTAGCCCGTAAGGTAACCCGATCCCGCTCCCCCGATCATCCGGCCCGCTGGGTGCGCTTCATAGCTCCCCGGCCCTGGATGTGAGGTTAATGGTAATATACTGCACTCGCCAAGTACTCCAAGTGCCCGAGCGGATTTTCTTTCTCGGCGGCGCTCTACATACATACATATAGATAGAGCACAAGATCAGGGCCAAGCGGAAGCCGAACCCGAAGACTGCGAAGGATTTTTGGGTAAGAAGAGTATTAAAGCCACGGTGGTGTGTACCTGTGTTTATTGCCAGTGCGCGCCAGTCTCCCGTCCCTAATGTTGTGAGAGCGAGTTGCCTGCGGGTGCCAAAATTCTTTATCGCGCCCCGTCCCGTGGCCTGTGCGAGAAAAATAAAGTTTGGCAGGCTCGCGCGCCGGACCCTGTGAAGTGAAAAAAAATAAACACAGGCAAACTGATTACACCGCCTTGCCTTTCACTGTGCGTGTGTGTATGGCCGCCGTCCTCTTCTCAACACTTCCGCCCAGGCTAATCCTCCCCTGCGGCCAACGTCCGACGCCGGCCCTGCTCGCTCCGTTGCCGAGCCTGCTCGCTCCGGCCCAGCGCTCCGGCGCAGCGCAGCGGTGCCGCATGCTGTCCCAGGAGCCGGGCTTCTGGGGCAGACTTCTGTTTGGGAGAAGCGGCGCGCCCCCGCCGCCAGCGCGCTGCGAGGAGAGCGGCTCGTGCACCATCCGCGACCTGCGCCCGGTCTTCGAACAGTGGGATAGCGACCAGAGTGGCACGCTCGAGCTGGACGAGCTGCGGCGGGGCTTCCTGGCCGCGGGCATCGAGCCACGAGACTGGGACGCGGCATTTGGAGCTCTCGACGCTGATGGGGACATGCACATCACGTTCGAAGAGTTCGAGGCGGGTCTGGGCCCCGAGCAGAGAGCGCGCATCGAGGCGAAGCTCAACGCGGACGGCGTGATGGCCTCCCTGTATGTGCCACCCGAGAAGTGGGAGGAGGCGCGCACGGCAGCCGAGCGGCAGCGGGAGGAGTGGCTGCAGTTTCAGGCGCGGAGAGAGGGCAACGGGGTGAAGCAAAATGAGATCCTTCGCCGAGAAATGAACCGGCCGTGAGCCCTAGCGTGAGCCCGTCAAGGGTGATTCACACACTGAGAAACGGTGACCTGGTCTGTCGCACGCGTTCGATCTCCAGCCTGTGTGTGCGCTGCCTCTTACTAGGTTGTGAAATCGTGTGCAAACCCTCGTCGCGCCGGTGCACGGTGCTGCTGAGTGCTGTGCTGACTGAACAACTCTATGTGCGACTCGTGTATGATGCCATCAATGATGCGATAAGCTGTGGTCCGCTCCCAGTCTGGGCGTGGGGTTGTTGCACGAGTATATGGGACAAAAGCGTCGAAAATGTCCCAAAAAAGCGTGTCTCGAGTTTGTGGCAGCTCCGGAGCCAGCGCGGGCTGCCAGGACGCACCGCTCGCGCGTTCGGCACACTCGGTGGACCCCACCGAGTGTGCCGAACCAGCTGGAGTGAGTAGGCTCGATGCCGCGCTCGCTGTGGAGCTGCCACAAACTCGCCGCCGAGCGTGCCACCGACGGCGTCCCGGCGGAGGTGATGGAGTGTGAGACCTGAGGCTGCGGAGGTGACGCCTGAGGTACCGGTCCGTGCACAGCGACTCAGCCGGCGACCGCCACGGGCTCAGACGAGACTTGTCGACTCGTTCCAGCTCAGCTTCACCGTGGTCCTCGGGCGTCTGTCGACGTCAGGACCACCCATACAGCTCGCGGGTTTGAGGTCGCAAGAGCCAAGATGGTGGCGTTTGGACATCCCAACCATCACACAAGACAGCCTGTAGGTGATGGCGGGACGGCGCAGTGTTTGTGGCACTCGGCAGTAGGCACCCGCGGCACGGCCCCGCTGTCGGCTCTCGCGGGCTGCGGAACCGGCCCCAGAAGGGGACGGTCCGGGCGAGTGTGGCAGCTCCTGCGCTAGTATGGGCACCCTCTATTATAGCACTACTGATCCTGGTCATTAGAGCTGCCAGGGATAGCGTCAGGAGCTGGTAGGAGTCAAAGCCCCTCATATTTGAGACATCGTGTCCCATATACTCGTGCAACAACCCCGTGGTCGAGACCGAGGTGCCGAACTGAGAGCCACTCCTGGAGGCTGCCTCCGGCCACCGCTCGACTACCCACGCACATGGCCGGTCCTGTGGCTTACCTGGGCTTGCTCAGAAGCCTCAATTCGCGCACACCTTTGCTCTCTGGCTCCCGCGAGTGCGTTTAGGCCACTCAAAGCAGGCGACGCCGAGCACCCGCAACGCATCTCGCTGGGGCGCCACCTATCGACCCGACTGATTGGCAGCATCAAAGCCGACCCCATGACGGTCCTTCAGCCCCATGAGACAGGCAGTTGCGCCCTGATCTCGGTCCAAGACGGCCAACGCCATGTCCGGCACCTGCTGGCTGCTTCACGGGGATGCCCCCCCCGGACACATGCTGCAGCCCCGAGTGGATGTATTGGTCGTTTGTGGGTCCCACAAGACTACTCTAGTAGGGGCCGGGCGCTGGAGCGTCGGCGGTACACCTGTGCAGATGTTGCACGGGTGAAATGGCTCCTCGTACAGGGTAGGAGGCAGGTGGTGGGTTTGAGTGTCGTGAGTGCTTGCAGCCGCGAGTGCAGCACCGTTTGTGACTCCCATGGATGCAGTTGGGTGGGCCACGGTGCTGGGGGGCGGTCCGGTGCGCCACAACAGCCTCCCCGGCTGACCCCCATCCAGTTCGGCACCTCCCGCATCCTGACCGTGGAACCCCAACCTCAACCGGTCATATCTCGGGCGGACTGGCACCTCAGGAGCTCATCCTGGGCGGTTTGGGGGAGTCTTGGGGGTGTGCTTGAAGGTGGTAAACAGAGTTTTGCACCGCAGCTTAACCGAGGGGCGTGCTGAGCGCACCGTGAAAACAGCGGACCACAGCTTATGCGGCTCTCTCTCCCTCTTGTCCAAGCCCCGAACGCCGTCCCCGCAGCGCGCAGGCGCGCAGCGCCCACGAATGCGGAATGGGAGCAAAATTTACGAATGCCCGGGCTCAACTCAACCCTTGCTGCAAAAGGCGCAGCCTTTGCACTTGCACACGCCGCAGTGGTTCTTGGCATTCTCGGGCTTGCAGAACGGCTTGCAAGCCTAAAGACAGGGAGCGCTTAGGTAAGGGCGCTGCTTGCTGACACCCACGGCGAGGTGTAGCTCGCCTCCACATCCGTGTCGCCGGCCACGGTCGAACTGCAAGGCACTGGCGCCGGCTTCGCCAACTTTTGGGCGAGCTGCGTGGTCAGTGTCGACGGCGGCGCGAGCGCAGGCGCAGTGACAGCTGTTGCCCTGCGCTCCACCTCGTGGGCACAAAAGCTACAGCCGCGGCATTTGCACATCGAGCAGTGCCTCCCAGCGTTGGCCGCCTTGCAGAAGGACTTGCAGGTCACAATGTCCGTGTCGCCGCTTAGGGTAGTAGAGCACTTTGCGGGCGGCGGAGGCGGCGGTGGCGGCGGCGGCGCGGGCGGCGGCGGCGGCGGGATGCAGTGCGGGCAGCCGCGACACTTGCACCAATCGCAATGCTCTCGCATTGACCTGAGGGCCGCGCACGAGTCAGTCGTGAGGGACCTAGGTTTGGGGCGACTAAGCCATCTAGCTTCTCACTTGGAGGAGCGCGTGCAGAAGGCGCTGCAGCCGACGTGCTGAAAGTCACCGGTGTGAGTCGATGTGCACTCAGCTGGCGGCGGCGATGGCGGCGGCGGCGGCAATGGCGGTGGTGGTGGCGGCGGCAGAGGCGGCGGTGGCGGCGGCGTGCAGTACGAGCAAGCACGACATTTGCACCATCCGCACACGCCGTGCTTGTTTGGCTTGCAAAAGGATGCGCAGGTCTCGTAGCTGAAGTCTCCAAAAATTGACGAGCTACATGGCCGCCCCGAAGGCGCACCAGCTGCAACTAGCAGAGCCAGAAACGCCATATCTCCGCGTTTCGCACGGGGCCTACGACCAAGACGACGGCGACGACGACGGAGGCGACGGCGGAGGCCGCGGCGTCAGCTGTGGCGAAGCAGCGGCTCCAGCAACAACCGCGGCGGGCGCTTTGGTCGGGTTTACAGCGACTTTCCCCACCGCGGCCAACCCTCGAACTTCGCGTGTGAGGCTGAGGGAGAGGAGCCCCAAAGTCCAGATATGTAGATAGATGATAGACAGCTCTAACAACAAACACGTCGATCAGAGCAGTGCGGGCACCTCTTCCTCGTCCTCCCACTCGTCACCGAGAGGAGGCTCCTCCATAGCAAGCTCCGCGCGGGCGGCGCCCTCCCCGTCGCGCGGCACGATCCGCAAGCTGACCGCGCCCGTGAGCCGCTCCTCGGGTGGGGGTGGGGGCAGCAGCGCGGTAGGTGCCGCACCAGCTGCGCGCTTTTTGGGCGGAAGCTTTTGCCGGCGCGGCGCGGGCGAGGCGATGATCGGCAGCAGCTTTGGACATGAGCGTCTCGATCCGGTCAATGTCGAGCTGGTGCAGCGCAACCTCCTCAAGCGTCGAGAGCATCCCCTCGTTGTGCTCCGCCTTGCGCCGAATCAGATCCTCGGTGAGGGCCAGTCCGTCGCGCACGGTCGCACCGCTCGGCGTTCCTCCCGCGGAGTCGGTCATGCTTTCGTCGTCGGGAGACGCCAGCTGCGCGTCGTCTGCAGGGTGGAGCTGGAGCTAACGCTCGCCCGTCCAGGGGGGCGAGGAGCGTTCGTTCGAGAGAGAAGATCTTTGCGTTCGTTTCACGACTGACGAAAGAAATCTTGGCGAAAACATGAAAAAGACGAAAGGGAGGCGGGATTGGCGAGAGACTGCGAAGAGAGATAGGAAGAGGCAGACGCCCAAGGGTGGCGACGGCGACGGCTAGCAACACACCTTCCTTCCCGTAAAATCCCTGCGTGGTGGCGGCGTGCCGTCCTCCCATCCCGCCTTCCGCTTCTATGTTTTCTGGTACGCGCCAGTCCGCGCCCTTCTCGTGCCAGTGTGCTGTAGAAAAAAGAAAGAAAACACACGAAGGGAGGGATGGGAGGATAGGGATTTTAAGGAAAGAAGTGCGGTGCTAGCCTATAAATAAATAAATACAACGGACACGCCAAACGAGGGCGGTGCTAGCCTTCGCCGAGGGATGTTTCGGGGATGAATTCTCAATTTTGAGATGAATTCTCAATCAGCCAGTCCATCAGCCATGTGAGCTGGCTCTCAAACACGCCCGCCCACGCGCCGCCACCCACCCACGTACTTGTCGCCGCGCCGCACCGCCACCCACCCACGTACTTGTCGCCGCGCCGCAGGTACGAGCAAGCGATCCGCGGCGTCCTCGCGGCCACGACAGGCGCGGCGGCGCTCTGGTTCTTTGCGGCTCCGCAAGACGTGGTGAGCGCGGAGCCCGTCAAAACGGGGACGGCGCACAAATCGCGCCTGCGCCCGACGCCAACTGGAGGAGACATGTCCTTCTTCAACGCGCAGGAGGTCGCCAATGCTGACTCCTGCCACCTGTCTCGCGAGGGCGGCAAGATGCTCTGAGGCGGCTCGCCTTTCTCTCCTTTGCAATAGTTCTGCCCGCTGCGCTTGTGTGAGCACTGGTCCAATTTTGTGCGCGCGGCTCTCTCCTACGAATAGCGGTGCCCCCTGCTACTTGGCCCGTAGTGCGCGCACGACATGCTCGATGAGCGTTGTGCGTTCGCGTGATTGTTTGTGTATTTGCCCCGTTTGTGCCTGGCAGCCGCCTTGAACATGGTCATATTTAAAAGCAAGCCCAGCCCAAAACCAGCTGCAGCCGCATATTCTGCCGCCACCTCTGCCGCCACCTCTGCCGCGTGTAGCCTGGGCGCTGGGCCGCAGTCGTTGGCCCAGTGGGCGCCGCGCGGCGGCGCCGGCGCCCCCACACAATGTGCACAATAAATGCGCGCACCGCGCTCTGGTGCGTAGTGGCGGGAGGGGCAGAGGTACGGGCCACAGGCCAGGGCGCTGCTCGCGCCGTCGCCTACGCCTTCTCCTCGCCCAGCTTGCCAAAGGCGTACGAGTAGCCCGCCGCTACGATCAGTGCGCCCGCGACCGCGTTGCCAATCGTGACGGGGAGCATGTTCTTGAGGAGGACGTCTCCGAGGCTGAGGTCGGCGCCCTTGAGGAGGCCGAGCGGGAGGAGAAACATGTTTGCGACCGAGTGCTCGAACCCGATCGCGACGAACGTCGAGATCGGGAACCAGATGCCGACCATCTTGCCCGCCATGTCGTTGGCCGCGCCCGCAAGCCACACGGCGAGGCAGACGAGCCAGTTGCAGAGGACCGCCTTGACGAGGGTGGGGCCGAAGGCCGCGCCACACTTCTTGACCGCCGTCGACGCCGCCAGCTCCGCCGCCCCTCCCGTGACGATGCCGCAGTAGTTTGCGGCGAGCGCAAAGCCGGCGCAGCCGATCAGATTGCCGACAAAAGAGAGGAGCCAGCTCTGGACGAGGAGCGGGAAGGTGACGAGGCCTTCGTACAGCGCGGCGGGGACGGCGGCGGCGTTGCCGGTGAACAGCTGCCCGCCCGTGTTCAGGATGAGCAGCAGGTTCATCGGGAAAAGAGCGGCAAAGAGCAGCTTCTGCAGGCCCGGGTTGGACGCGGCTATCCCGGGCACGTTCCCGGCAACCATCGTCGAGAGCAGCCCGCCGAAGCCGACGTAGCAGCCGCCCATGATGGACTGGTGCAGGATTTTCAGCGGGTCCAGCTTTGCATTCGCCGCACCCTTCTCCGCCAAGCTGCGGTAGGCCTCGGGCGGCGTCTTGACAGACGCAACTGACTGGACCGGGCCGCCGCCACGCAGCTGTAGGGATCTGCGCAGCGCCGCTGCACGCGGCGGGTTCACCGCACGGTCTGGGCTCGATGCAGCGAGCGCGATTGCGGCAAGAGCCACAACCATGCGAGCTCAAGGTCAAGACTGGGTTCGGGCTCTGGTTCTGGTTCGGGCTCTATGCAATCGGTGGGTACAAGCGTACTCGGAGCTCCCACGGGTGAATACTCAATACAGAGATCACAGTATATCCGAATAGCCCGAACCCTGGTGCGACAAACAAACAAAAACTCCTGGGTCATGGCTCATGCAACAAAATCTCAAGAATCTCCCTCTCTGGTGCGCAAAAAAAACCGGTGCGAAGACACCGACTGCCACCACCTAGAAGCTAGAACTAGGCTACTATGGCTAGATCCCAAGATCCGAGCCTCGTGTCAGCTCAGAGGCTCCGAGCAGAAGGACGAGGGGAACCAGCCCATCCGGCCATCCAGCGAGCCCTCCCACCATCCGCCCGGCTCGCCCTGCTGCGTCACCTGGATGTAGTCGCCCGCGCGAAAGCCGAGCTCGCCCTCCTGCTGCGGCGCAAAGTCGGAGAGCGCCTGCACGTACCAGAGCCCGCCCGCCGGCCCTACCGGCCCGCCCACGTCCACGTACAACACAAAGACGGCCGCCTCTGGGTCTTTGCAGTCGATGCTCACCTGGTCGCCATCGGCCAAGACGTGCTCCTCGCCCTTGTAGAGGGCATTCCACGGGCCGTTGGCGGGACCGCTGGCCGCGCGCCACAGCGTCGGCGCCTTGCCCTCCGAGGTCAGGGTGGCGGTGCCGTCGGCGGCGCACCGGACGACGCACTGCTTCCGCGAGACGTAGAGACTCTGCTCGAGCATGTTCCACCGCGAAAGGACCCGCTCCTCACCCGCGCCGACGATATATGGCAGCTGGCACGGGCGCCCCTCGCGTGCCGTCTCGAGCCTGAATTCGCGGTCGCCATACTTGTTATTGGCCGCAAACCCAGCCACGCCCGAAAAACCAGCCACGCCAAAGAAGCAGTCGATGCGCCACTGCACGGTCGCGGTCGTGCGTTGAGGCTGTTCCCACTGAGACTGGCCGGTTTGGCTGTTCAGGTAATAGGTTTCACCGGTCTGCTGGTCGACGCGTGAGACCCAGCCGGGAGCCAGCTGCGCGACGGGGCATGCCGATCGACAGCCTTGGCTCAGCGGCCTGAATGCTGTCAGAGCCGCCGCCGTCGCAGCGAGCGCCGACAGGCGTAGCAGCATGCGTGGTCGAGCTGCGAGGTCGAGCGGGTCCGCCGAGGCCCGAGGGCTGTCGGCTGTGATTTTTTCAGAAAATAAAAATTCGCGGTCATCGGCTCGCTGGGTGCGCTTCTGAGCTCCCCGGCCCTGGATGTGCGGTTAATGACTGCACTCCAAGTGCTCCAAGGTACGCGGGGCTTGACCGCACTCCAAGTGCTCCAAGTGCCCCACGAGCTCTGTGTGGGAGAGAGTATTACGACGTTCCCCGCCTCTCCCATTTGGCGCCGGCACGCGTGAGGCTCTTCAGCTCGGCGACGCGAACGCCGCGCTCAGGGTAAAGGAGAGGAGGGAGCCGGCGGTGAGACCGAGCATGAGGGAGAAGGAGGAGGCAGTCCCCCACAGCTCCTTCTCCTCTGCGCTGCCCGCGTGCTCGCCGACGAGCACCAGCGCCATGCAGCCGATGTACCCCGTCGAGACGCCGAGGCCAAACGTGCAGCCGAGCGGGAGCGCGTCGCTCGCGCCGCCGCGCCCGGCGGGCGCTCGCAGCAGCAGCAGGAAGAGGGGGACGAAGAGGAGGTGCGCGCTGACCCAAGCGGGAAGCGAGCGCCTGCGGGGAGGGGCGGCGAGCGAGAGGGCGCGGCTGCGGAGCGCGCGGCGGGAGGAGAGAGGAGGTGGCGTCGGAGTGGCGTCGACTGTGGCGCCGGCTCTAGGCAGCCGCCCGCCACGGCGGCGCGGGCGCTGCGCTGGACCGACGCCTCTGCTGTGGCGGCCGTGCAAAGGACGGGCGGCGACTAAACCGCCTCGCCCGGGCCAAGGTGGCGGCCCGGTGTCCGTTCGAGGGCCGCGGGGACAGAGCAATCGAAAGGGGCCAGCGGGGCTGTGCGACGAGGTTGGGGGGCGCGTGCGGTGCGGGGGCGCGTGCGGTGCGGAGGCGTGGGCGGCGGCGGGGAGGCGACGCCTCGAGACGAGACGGGCCCGCGCGGGAAGCGTCTTTCCGAAGAGGTCGCCTAGCGTCGGGAGGGGTCGGGGTGATGCCGGCTGTGCTCCCGCGGGCAGCGTCCTGCCGGGGCAGAGGTTGGCGCCGCAGTTGTAGGCGGCGACCATCAGCAGCGGGAACCAGGAGCCGAGCGTCGGCGAAGTGAGGGAGGTTGCGAGGCCGGGGAAGCAGGCGAGGCAGGTGACGAAGACGAGGAAGGCCGAGAGCGACTCGAGCCACACCTAAGCGGGGGGGGGGGAGGGGGGGGGGGCGCCGCAGGGTGACGCGAGGGCCGGGGTGCAGCGAGGCAGGGCAGGCGCAGGGAGGGGAGAGGGAGGCGGGAGTTGGCGCGCCTCGCTCGCCGACAGCCAGCGCGACGGCGCCGGCCTCCCTTCGGCAGGAAGCAGCATCTGGTCGAGCGCGCCGGCCGTCGCGGTGGCGGTGGCAGAGAGCCGCCGTCTCTCGTAGGCGGCGAGGCGCGCGGCGACAGAGTCGTCGCACACGGCTCGGGCGTAGGCGGCGACCGAGCCGGCGAGGAGGGCGGAGCCGCAGCTGCAAAAGGCAAACATGCTCGTAGAGGGGCGGCCGGCCAGGACCACGTTGCTCACGACGCGGAGGAGCACCGACACGACTCCCATCACGCCCTGCCCGGACTGGAGCGCCTGCGTCGCGCCATCACCGAAGAGCGCGGCGAGGCCGTACAGGGACGACTGCGCGACCGCCGAGCAGAAGGCGTTGACGAGGACGGAGACGAGCGTGATTGCAAACCCGAATCGCGAGGCGAGGCCGGCACGCATGGCGAGGTCGACCAGAGGAACGGCGAGGAGCGACGCGGCCATGACGAAAGTCGGCACGCGAACACGCACGTCGAAAGAGAGCGCCTGGCCGTACAGCAGGTTGAGCGTCGCAGCGCCGACGAGGACGGTGGTCGAGACGGCCGGGAAATAAAATTCCATCGAGTTGTCGCCATAGATGTCAAGAAAGTAGTCGGCGAGCGTGAGAAAGGAGAGCCACGGCAGGAGGTTGGCGGCGCCGAGGGAGAGCATGGCCCAATACACGGTGCTCGAGATGGTGGTGGTCTCCGCCATGGACGGAGCCGAGGCGTCCGCCATGACGGAGCCACCGAGAGACTGCACGGCCAGGCCGAGCCTCTACGGCCAACAACGCGAGCTGAAAACAAGAATTTTTCCCTGCGATTCCACCCATCCCTCCCTTGGGTTGTGTGTTTTCTTTCTTTCTTTCTTTTTCCCTTGGGTTGTACGTTTTACTGGCACGGGACTGGCGCGCACTGGCACCAACACAGGTACTGAAACAAGAAAATCTGACGCCCCAGGCAAAGGCAGAATCGCTCCCTCTGTGTTCGTACGTCGCCCATCTCTCCCTCTGTTTATTTAAAGAAATCGTCGCCGTTAACGTCCGCCGGGGACGCGAGCACGCCCGCCGCCACGTTCGCGGTCCCATATTTGTGTGTGCAAACGGCCAGCCCCTGGCTCGCCTCGGGTTGCAGAGGATACTAGGACGCTAGAGCCGAGGCGGGCGAGGTATCCTATCGCCAGCACGTACCCGATGAAAAAAGACGCTCAACCAAGCCGGACGAACACGCGTCTCATCAACGATGCCGAATGCTCCAACACCTCGACGCCGATCCTGCTTGCTCTCGGCATCCTCAGCATCCCCCACAAAGGAGCCACGAGAGCTTACATACGCGATTCGATGACCGCCGCGAATCCGCCGGGAGAGGAACGCGTTGTCCACCGCTTTGTGATCGCTGGGCAGGGCGCCGACTTCCTTGGGCTGAATCGTGAGGGCAAGGCGCACGGTGACCTCCTGATCCTCGACAAGATGAGCGAGGGCTCCGAATCCTTGAGCGAAAAGTCGCTCCGGTGGTTCATGTATGCCGCACGCAGCATTCCTTGCGCCCGATACGTGGCGAAGGCGGACCCAGACACCTACATTGTTTGGCCAAAGATGCGGATGCAACTGGGGCGCATGACGAGCGGCCACCTCAGCCCGCGGCTGTATTTTGGCGTGCATTGCGACTGGACGTGGATGCTCCCTCAGGTGAGGCCCCATGACGTCCGACCCAGCACAACCGCTCTAGACTGCCTCGCCAGGCTCCCGGTCCGCCCCGCGCCATGCCCAACAGGTGCCCCAAGCCTGCGGGTGCTGCGGCTTCACAGTCAGTCACGCCTGGCAGTTGCGCACGCGCAAAAATGCTGCATGGGGCTCTTGCGACTTTGCAAATCGGCGCGCATCGTCGTGGACGACGCCGCAAGGCAAGGCTGCACCAACCTGTGGCCCCTCCTTTCTAGGTCGAACGCTGAGCACCCAAAGTGGTCGCAGCAGCACGGCTCGCCCATTGATGGCCCCTTCCCCTATGCTGCTGGCCTCTTCTATGGCGTGAGCGCGCCCGTGGTCAAGTGGCTGGCCACGAGCCCCTTTTTCGCCAACGCGCTGCGCAGCTTGCGCCGATCGGTTTGGTCAGCGCGGTTGAGGTACAACGAGGATCTCGTGTTTGGCTGGGTCATGCGGCAGGTGCCGGAGCTGACGACCGTCGTCCTGGGCCAAGGCGACGGTGACGCATTCGACAATTTTGACGCTGCGGGCGGCGTCCAGCGCGCCTTTAGGCAAGCGAGCGAATGCTATCTCCGTTACGGGCTGACGGCACACCGCTCTAAATGGGAGGGCAAGGCCTAATTTCGCTATTCTCGCACTAAGGCGTTCTCCGCTGCCGCGATAGGCGTCCAACTTCACCACGGGCAGCTTTTCAAAGTGGGGCGCGTGCTGCCCAGAGTGGTTGACACCGCGGCAGGTCACTCGGGCGATGGGGTGCGCGCAGCAGCTCGCGAGACTTACGTCAGTACATGGCTGTGCATTTAATGTCGCTATAGGTACTCACACACCACGTCCTCGACAAGGCACAGTGGCAGCGAGCCTCTGCTATGGCGAAGCGCTGGGCGAAGCTCCCAGCAGACCCTTGCCTCACAGTACCACTGAGGCGAGTCGCAGGTCCTGCACGGAGTCGGAGAGACCAGCCTCGCTGACTGAGTCAGAGAGTCACTGTGAACACTGAGAGACGGAGAGCTTCCTGAGGGTGCTGTGAGCGATCGCGCACGCGGCTCGATCGAGATCCTGTTTATCCTTTTTTTTCAATGCGTGTATGTGGCTCTTTACGTCCTGTATTTTTGGATTTTGCATCCACACGATCCAGCTTTTCCAGGCATTTTTCTCGACCCACACTTTTAGGGGGGGGGCTACGAATCGGCAGTCTACATATACGTGTGTCGTCCTGTAATCTCTAGCTAGAAGCTCTCCCTCCGGCCTTCGACTCCAGAATGGAGTCCGCCACTCGGCCCGGAGAGCTACAAAGTCGGGTCTGCGTGCAGCTCGTCTCGCGACACCTCAAAGACGGTCAGGTCAGTGGTCATCTCCACCACGCCCGGCGCGCGCTGCACGCGCCGGCCGGCCTCCGTGACGAGCGGAGCGACGCGCAGCCCGTGCTCGCGAGCGGACGCGAGGAAGGTGCCGAGGCACACGTCTCTCGCGTCCCACGCGGCAGCCGGCTCGTTGGCAAGCAGCACGGCCTCCACGTCAAACATGTCCGCCCTCCGGTGCTCGTGCGCGATAAGGCAGCGCGCGGCGCGGCCGTTGTCGGGCCCGATTTCGAGGAGGCGCCGCAAAGTGCCGCACAGCGCGTCTCGCTCGGTGTTGACCGAGTAGGTGATGTCCGTTCCGAGGACGAGGTCGAACGCGCCGGCGCGAGCGCACGCGGGCGGATCGTCACCAAAGCGCCACCGCCCCGCCGTCACCTCGGTACTGTGCGAGAGGAGCGGCCGGTTGCGCCGCGCGTTCGACGCGAGGAGCGGCAAAAGTCCGGCCTCGCCGTCGGTGAGCACCACCTCCCGTGCGCCGAGCGCCGCAGCAAATATGCCCACCGCGCCGGTCCCCGCGCCGAGCTCGAGCACTCGGGCGCCCCGCACAGCACCCTCGTTGCGCCGCATCCAGCGGCACATTGCGCCAGCGGAGCGCCAAAGCCGGTACCCGACGTTGCCGTCGCCCTCCAAACGTCGCTGCTCCAGGTCAAGCACCGCGCCGCTCGGAAGGCTCGGCAGCAGCGGGCCGGCCGTCGGCGGGCCGGCCGTTGGTAGGCCGTCGCCGCTCACGCCGTCGGGGAGCTGGAGCGTCCAGACTCCAGTCACAGCGTCGCAGCGCACGTCGGCGACACGCAACGGCGCCGCAACGTTGGCGATGCACGACGACTCGCTCACCAGCGTCGCGGCGACCAGGAGCGCGTGCCGCGCTGGCATCCCAGCGCGTCTCCGGCGATGGCGGTTTCGGCGAGCGGAGGCAAGAAATGCGGGCGCCAGCCCTGCGGCCTTTATTTTATTTTTTATTTATTAAAAGGCCCGCGAGGTGGGGTGCTAGTATGATGAGACCGACGCAGGTCGTAGTTCGCTTGCCGGCATGTGACATGTGCATGGGACCCCGAAGAGAACCCTTCGGAGTCGCTCCTCCTCATCGCAAACCCTGAGAGAGACTCTCAAACAAACCCTCTCAGAGAGAGAGAGATTTTTTAGCAATACCAATTACCAAACAACTCTAACACTTTTGCCCTGTCAGCAGTCCACCTCGGGTACGTACTTTTAGCTTAATGGGAGAAAAGCAAAAGGGGGAGGGTGTGTGTGGTGTGTGTTGGTCTCTCTCTCCTCGGGTACGTCTCTCTCTCTCTCTCTCTCTCTCTCTCTCTCTCTCTCTCTCTCTCTCTCTCTGACTCTCTCTCTCTCTCTCTCTCTCTCTCTCTCTCTCTCTCTCGCAGCTCTCTCTCTCTCGCTCGCTCTCTCTCTCTCTCTCGCTCTCTCGCTCTCTCTCTCTGACTCTCTCTCTCTCTGACTCTCTCTCTCTCTCTCTCTCTCTCTCTCTCTCTCTCTCTAACGCTGCCGCGCGCAACTTTGCGCGCGAGGCGGCGCAGCTTGAGAACGGCGGTGGGCGAGAAGCCGCCGCCGAACGTCTCGTGGAGCAGCAGGTTGAAGTTGTTGCGCTTGACAAAGATCGATCGCGTCGTGGTAGAAACCGCGATGCGCCTTGACGTAGCCGTGGCCGGTCTTGTGGGAGAAGGGTTGGCCGGGCTGCCCGCGCGCCTTGCAGCCCATGTTTAGGCGGCGGGCCTTCTCTGTTGCATTCCAATTAAATTCAAGAATCTTACTGTCTCTCGGGTCTGCGCCGTGTCCTGTGCCGTGCCGTGCCACCTCTCTATGCGAACTAACCTTCGATCTCTTGATCTCGAGCGGTGTGCCGGTGTGTGTGCTAGTCTGCGCCGTCCGCGCCGCTGTCGTGTCACTGCGCTGCAGGGAAACTGGTGAAAATTCTTTTTCTGGAGCTCTGCGAGCGAGGCCTGTGGGTCGGATTCGTGTGTGTGTCTCGCGCAAATTCGATGGACGGCGCCACGATCCAGCGAACGAACCGCTCCCTACTCCCTCAGCACTCACGCCCTCTCCACTCCGTCTGCAGAGTACAAGTTCGACCTCTATGAGGCGCTCGAGGTCCAGGCGAACGCGACGCTCGACGACATCAAAAAAGCATACCGCAAGCTCGCGCTGGTGCTGCACCCGGATCGCAACGGCGGCGAGGAGGCGCGCTGTCCCCCGGCCCCGCGTCGCAAGCGCAGCCGGCTGCTCCTCGCGTGAGTGCGCCCTCTCTCCGCGCCGCCAGAGCGAGCGCTTCCTCAACCTCAAGACGGCGTACGACGTGCTGTGCGACGAGGACCGCCGCCGCAACTACGACGCGTTCCACGCGTCGCGCGAGTACGTGCGCGATCGGCGGCCGCTGTCCGCCAAGGAGGCGGCCTGGCTCGTCGATCAGCAGAAGCGTGCGTGGGGCGTGCGCGAGATACACCCCTTTGCCGTCTGCATCCTCTGCGAGTCGTGCCCGTGCCCCGCGGACGGCGTGTGCTACGCCTGCGGGATGACGTTTTGCCAGATGTGCGTGCGCAAGATGCACACGAACGGCAAGTGTCCTCCTCACTACCCGTGCCGCAACTCGACCAAGTTCTCCGAGAAGCTCGTCGAGCAGGGCAAGGAGAAGGATCGCGAGCGGAGGATGCTCAAGGGCAGCCAACCGCTCCAGCCGCTCCTCCGCCGGACACTGCAGGCTCGCTGCTCTCACGACGCCGAGGCGACCCGTGCGCGTAGGCCCCTCGAACATCTGGCTCATGTCCGACGCCGACTTCGGCGCGCGCCGCCGCAGCACACCCCTCCCCCTCGCGCGAGCGACCGGGCGGCTGACAGAGATGCGCCGCCCGGCTGCTCCTTGCCTCGCGCAGGCGCGGCTCGCGACACGTACCGCGAGCGAGCGAAGCGGGAGGCGGCCGAGCTCTGCACGTACTACGCGTGGGGGCAGACGCGGTACACCGTCCATCTCGCCGTCTGGCTCGCCTCCACGAGCGGCGAGTGCGAGATACTCTTTGACCGAGACGCAGACGACAGGCGGCGGAGCAGCGGAGCTCCGAGGAGGGGGCGGGCGCTGCCGGAGGGGGGCGCGAGACGCGTCGCTGGCGTGCCGCACGTAGGCAGCGCATCAAGCTCAAGCCCGACGGCATGCCTGCCCTCTTCGAGCGCACCTTTGCGCACGGTGCTCCTACGCCGCCCGCGCTCTCGCACTCGCCGCCGCCACACCGCCGCCACACCGCCGCCACACCGCCGCCGCACCGCCGCCGCCGCACCACCGCCCACAAGGCTCCCCGCGCCACAGCCGCGCCGCCACAGCCGCGCCGCCACAGCCTCACGCTTTGCCCGCCGCCCTACCCAAGGCGTGGACGAGGCGCGCGCGGGCGACGCGATGTTCTTTCACCACATGCACGCGATGACCTTTTGCGTCGCTAAGGGCACGCCGGGCGAGCGCTGGCGCTCCCTCTTTGCGGGGGATGCCGACGGCGCGCGTGAGCTGGCGCTGCACGAGCCGGAGCACAGCTGCGCCGAGGAGCAGGTCGGCGGCTTCAAGCCGGTGCACCACCACCGCGTCGCCGGCCGAAAGGAGTCGCAGCCGGCCGAGGGGAGGGGGGGAGGAGCCGCGGCGGAGCCGAGGAGCCGAGCCTTGCCGGCCGCCTTGTCTGTAGGAGTCCGCGAGCGAGTGGCACGAGCTCAACGTCACAGTGCAGGCGAGAGGCCGCCCAGAGAGATGCACGCGCCCTCCCTGCCCCCCTCCCCCCCTCCCTCCTCCCTCCCCCCCTCCCCCTCTCACTCTCCTCCGTCCCCTCCCTCCTCCTCAGGTGCCGGAGGAGGCGACGCGATCGCTCGTCAGCGCCTCCATCTCCGCCACCCACCTCGAGGCCAGCCTCCTCCCGCACAGCGGCACCGGCCAGGGGGCGCTCTTCACACCGCACGCTGTGAACAGGTCCTCGTCTCCTCACCAGCGGGCGGCACCCCCTGCCTCCACTGGCGGCGCCGGCTGCAGCAGCGGACGCTCAAGTACGAAGACGGGCGCCCCCGCCACGCCGGTCCGCCGCGCCGCTTCGACGAGCCGTGCAGACGCCCTCGAGGAGCCGAGTGCTGTAGGCACTCCTCGCGCACGCACGTCGACACGGCAAACTCGACTTGGGTGCTCGGCACGGACAGCCGCGGGCGGCGGTGCGTCCAGTTTGTGCTCGCGCAGTGGATGGAGGCGAGGCGCTTCCGATTGCCCCCCTCCCCCCCCCAGGTGACTGTGCCGCTGGCGGACGCGTGCGGCGGCGCCGACCTCCCTCGCGACTGCGCCACCGCCTCCTTCTCCTCCTTTGGCGCGAGGCTCGAGGTCTGCCTCCCCTCCGGGCCGCACGCGCTCACGCTGCCGGAGCTCTTCAAGGAGATCTCGCCGCAGCAGTCCGAGGTGAAGCTGCGGTACAAGACGCGGCGCGCGGTGCTGGTGATGCGCAAGGCCGACCCGGACGCCACGTGGCCGAAGCTCGCCGCCGCGTGAGTCGCGTACGCAAGCGCAGGGAGAGGAGCCGGCATACTTTGTGGTTTATGGCGAGAGAGCGCAAGTGTGCGCGGTCCGGTCTCTCTGGGGTGGGGCACATCGGGGATCAGGGCATATGACATGGGAGCTGCCACCGGCGTCACGGCACCGCCCGAGCGTCGCCATGACCCATGTGATGTCAGCGGCATGTATTGTATCAATTTCCTTCTGAAAGAAGAGAGGAGTCAAGACACTAGAGTCTAGTGTAAGAGGCGCGAAAAAGCCCGTCGCGTAGACAAACGGCCGATTCGTGTGCAAGGCTGCGCCGCGGCAGGTACACGGGCGCGCGTGTGCAAGCCAGAGGCCCGGGGGGCGCGCTGCCACGAACCCCCCAAGACTAGTCTAAAGCAACGCCTCGCGCGGAATCCCAGCGCGCAGCGGTGGCGGCGGAGAGGGCGCCGGACTGAGGCGCGCCGCCGGTCGCCAGCGCGCGCGATACGCCGCGGCGCCATTGCAGGGTCAGTCGTCGTCCTCGGCCTTGATCGCCGGGACCTTTGGCGGGTTGAGCAGCGCGGTGAGGTTGGCCATCACGAAGATGCCGCTCACCGCAACGGAGAGCGAGCCGAAGACCATTTTAACCATGTGGATGTCCGAGCCGTACCACACCGGCCCTCCTCGCCCGAGGCCCCGTCCGAGACCCATCGCCGACGCGCTGCAGGCCCTGCAACCGCGGCGAGCGTGCGCTGCACACAGGAGAAAAAAATGGTTTGCTCCAAGTGCTCCAAGTGCTCCAAGTGCTCGCTTGGGTTTCTAGGTGGGCGGAGCCGCCCGCTCCCCCTACGACGGCGGCCCACGCCTCGAGTCCAAACGAGCCCTCGCTCTACGAGGGGAGCGACGAGGAGTACTAGGAGCGGCCGCCGAGCCCTTCCCGCAGCGCAACCCTAGCAGCGCAGCGGGCAGGCAGGGCGGCTCGCGCAGCGCGCGCGATCGCGCAAGCGGCGCGCGAGCGAGCGAGCGAGCGAACACACACACACACACACACACACACACACACACACACACACACACACACGCACGCACGCACGCACGCACGCACGCACGCACGCACGCACACACACGTCCCAACCCCCCAGAAATCCCCGAGGAGCCGTGCAGTGCCTAGAAACGTCTGTGTGCTGTGTGGTGCACGCCCTCCGAGCGGGGCGGGGTCTGCCCGTCGGGTTGCTGCCCTAATCCCACCAGGGGTTGTCTGCTCTATTTATTTATTTATTTCTAGGTGGGGACGTGAGTCTGTCCTCGACCCAGCCCTAGCTTTGGGAAAGGGGTAAAAGAAGAATGGGGCTCCGGCGGGTGGGTGAGAGGGGGGGGGGGGGGGGCGCTTCGCTCGCGCGGGAGACTAGCCGCGAACGGGGCCATGCCAGACGAGTCATGCTCTGGGGGGCTCCCGAGGGGGGCGCACCGCGGTACAAGCCCGGCGCGGCGGGCGCTGGGAGCCTACTCCCCGAAAAAACAAGAAAAAAAAGAGAAAAGTCCAGAAAAGTTGGCTTCTAAAAACCATCTCACAGATGGCTCAACGGGTATTTTTCGCTTCGCTGCGCGGCCCCGCATAGGTAGGTAGGTGGGGCACGGAGCCTGGCGGTTGGCGCCCGCAATAGGTAGGTAGGTAGGGCGGTTCGAGACCCCCTATCCGGCTAGGAGCCGGAACCCTGTCCGGCGTCATGGGCGACAGCCCCTCACACTCCTCACATGGGCCGCTTGCCTCGCCCATGCATCGCCTCGCCAGCGTCGGCAGAACGGGCCGCTGGCTTGTGCACGGCCTCGCCAGCGAGCTCACCTCCAATCTACTCCCGGGCCGCGCTGCGCCGCCGCCACTCTCTCCCTCCCAGGGTGGCCTCGCCGTGGTCACCGGCGCTACTGGTGGCATCGGAGAGGAGGTCTGCCGTGGCCTCGCTGAGCGGGGCTTTGAGGTGTGCTGCGCCGCGCGCGACCGGCGGCGTGGGGAGGCGCTGGCGGCATCCATCCGCGAGGGCGGCGGCTGTGCGTTTTACGTGGACTTGGACCTGGAGGAGAGGCGGCCGGCGGAGCGGCTCGCTCGGGTGTTGCGCGGCCGGCGCGTGCGGCTGCTCGTCAACAACGCCGGCAGCATGGGCGGGTCGGTCGGGGTGACGCTGCGCGTCAACCTCTGCGCGCCCGCCTCGTTGGCGGTCGCCCTCTGGCCCCGCCTCGGTGCCGAGGGTCGCGTGGTCAACGTGGGGTCGTCGAGCCACCTGCGGGCGGCGGGCGTCAGCCTGTCCGCAACCGACGCGGCCATCGACCGCGGCCTGCGTGCGTACGCGCAGAGCAAGCTCGGGTTGATGCACGTGTCGCTGCTCTTGCGCGCCGCGAGCGCCGCGAGCGGGGGCCCGGCGGTGAGGGACTGCCACCCAGGGGTCGTCTGGACGCCGATGCTGCGCAGGCAGCTCGGCGCGCCCCTCTGCCGCCTGCTCGAGGCCTCGGGCGCCTCGCGCCGCCTCTTCCGCACGCCGCAGCAGGGCGCCGCAACGGTCCTGTGGGCGGCGCTCTCGGACGAAGGCCACGGAGGCGGGGGAGGGGTGCGTGCGTGGCGGAGCGAGTACTTCGTCGACTGCCGGCGGGACGACGCGGCGGCCTCGCCCGAGAGCAGAGACCTCGCGGCCGCGCGGCAGTCGTGGCGCTGGCTCGTCGAGGCGGAGCCGGAGCTGGCGAGGCGCGCGGCGGCTGAGCGAGGGCTCGCCCGCGCGATCGCCGAGGCGGAGGCCAATAGCAGGCAAACCGGATAGCAGGCAAACCGGTTTGCTACCGCAGCAGGCTCCCTGTCGTGTCTCGAGCTCTGACACATTACAGGCACGACGACACTGTCGATCTCTATGCCTCGTTTCTTTCGTTTCGTCCTGTCTGCTGTCATCCCGAGATAAATAAATAAATAAATAAAAACGGACACCGCTCTACTGTGAGATGGGTAAAAAGGAACAGGCCCCCGCCCTTGCGATCTTTGTGCAGGGTTCTTGTGGGTGTGGTCGGCGACTAGCCGGGGTCGTCCTCCCGGTGGGGGACTAGCACTAGCCGTCTTCCACATCAAAGTCCTGCTCCCTCCCTCGTCTCGCCCTGCGCGTCTGCTCCGCCTCACCGTCTTCTGCCCTGCGTCGTCTGGCGACGGGTCCTCCACGGCCAGCGGACGTGGAACTCACCTTTTCTCGGCAGCTCGTGTGTCGGCGGAAAACTGTGCTCCATCATCACAGTTCTGCTCGGGTGTAGAGCGACGCTCGTCGCCGACCGCGTTAGCGCCAGCCGCATTGGCAGAGGAGGCAGTTCGGCGGGCCCGCGGATTCTGTGCGCAGCGGGCACGCTTCGGACTGGACGGCCGTCCGTCCTGTACAAGCCGCGTCTCCGCCAATCGGCATCGCTCAACGGCACGCACGGTAGACTTCCTTCGGAGGCGGGCTTTGAACCGCTCCACCAGTTCACGGCGAGCACAAAGCGCCGCGCTTCGTCGTCCGCGGTCTGAGGCGCCCCGCAATGCGAATGCCGCAAGCGCCGGCGCCGCGGAGCGCGGTGCGCATATATGGTCTTCTCGTGCGGACGCGATGCGCTCGAGAGCTAGTAGTCGAGAGTCCGTATTCGAGATTCGACACACACACCACACCACACACAGCACACACAAGACACATATACACTTACACTTACACACACATCAACAACACGGAACACGCGACTCTACAGACTATACTACGTCGAGCAAAATAAAATGAGCCAACGGGCTGCAGAGCTTTTTAGTTGTTGGTTATCTCTTCAGTAGTCCGCCACAAACTCGTCGCCCGACGCGTCTGTGCTGCGCCGGAGCCCCATCCGCGCGCCCCACATGAACGAGACCGAGAAGGCGGGCGAGAGCGAGCGCACATAGTGCCAGTGCAGCCGCGGGATGTGGAGCAGCTCCCCCGGCCGCAGCACCGCGTGCGAGTACGGCGCGGCGCCGAAGCGCGGGAAGGCGCCTTCGTCCGGCGCGTCGAGGTTGACGGCCGACGCGTTGCAGCGGTCGCCGGGCAGCGGGTAGAGGGCGCCGGTGTGGCGCGGCGCGTAGAGGCGCACGTACTTGTGGCCCTCCACCTGCGCGAGCAGGTTGTGGTACGGGTCGTTGTGCAGCGGCGAGACGGTCCCCTTGCCGCCGAGCCACGCCGAGGCGAGTGGCGACGAGCGGGCCTCGCACTCGGCCGGCGCCGCCGCGTCCGCCGCGTCCGCCGCGCCGCAGTAGGCTGGCGTCTCGATGTCGTCGCGCAGCGTCGGGACTTGCGCGAAGAGTGCGTGCTGCGCAAGGTAGCCAACCTGCGGGCGCGGAGCTCGGAGGTGGGCGGGGAGCGGGCAGGTGGGCGGGGCAAGTGAGCGGGGCGGCGAGCGGGCGGCGGGCGAGAGCGGGGCCGCGCACCTCACCGCCGCCGCCATCGCCGTCGCCGCCGCCGTCGCCGTCGCCGTCGCCGTCGCCGCCGCCGCCGTCTCCCGCGCCGTGCTGGTCGAGGAAGGCGGAGAGGCTCATGACGCGGCGCTCCCACGAGGCGGAGAGGAAGCCGCGGCTCGCCTCGTCCGCGGAGCACACCTCGACCGGCACGAGCCGCTCGCCGGCGAGGGCGCGCAGGTACTCGCAGCTCCAGGGCCGGCAAGTCCTCGCAGGCCAGCTGCCGATGGCGTGGGTGAGGATGACTGGCGTGCCGCTCTCGAGGTACCGCCGCGAGAAGTCGGCCACGCTCAGGCCCCGCGCATCGACTCTCTCTATCCCCGCCGCCAGCCCTCCCATGTGCTCGCACACAGGCTCCGGCTCTGAGCGAGGCACCGCCGCTCTGACAGCGAGCCGCCTCGCCTCGCTGGCTGCACCCGCCGATGCGGCGCGCACGACTGGCTCAGTAATCGTGGCCCACTCGGCGACACCGCCGCGAAGCATCGCGAGGTCACACGCGCGCAGGGCCGCCGCCTCGGAGTCGACTGCCTCATCGCCGCCGCCACAATCGCCGCCAGCCAGAGTCGCGTCGGCAAACAGAATCGAGGCCGCCGAATAAGCCGCGCACGCTGCCTCCGCTCGCTCCTCGTCCTCGAGCGCCTCGAACGTCGCCTCTCTCGCCGCGTCCGCCGCCTTTGCGCGCTCGGTCGCAGGACGTTCACGGCGAGCTGTGTCGAGGGCTCGGCGGAGCGGATCGACTACGTCGGCGCCGAGCTCCTCCCATGGTACAGCATTCTCGAGGGCCTCGAGGTTGAGCAGTGTCGTCTCGGAGCCACGCGCTCGCTTGGACATGATTTACTGTACAGCAAACGGAGCTACCAGCGCTCGCTTGGACATGATTTTGGACAGTGCGCACGCAACACGTGGACAGGAGAAATACGCCTGTGTGGCCGGCCCGGGGTTAGGCCTCGCTTAAATCCCTGTATGTGGCGGCGGCGTGCCGTCCTCCCATCCCTCCGTTGGCTTCTTTGTTTTCTTTCTTTCTTCAGAAGCCTCTCTAGCCCGCAGTCTTCCGATGCCAATCATCCGGCCCGCAGAGGGTGGTGCGCTCTTCTTAGCACTTAGGACTTAGCGGCTCGCCGGCCCTGGATGTGAGGCTATTGACTGCACTCCACGTGCTCCATCCTCCAAGGCCAAGTGCAAAACCAAACTCGACCAAACCAATCCCACCCCTTCAAACCTCCTCACTATCTAGATACGGGAGCCTATGCGGACTGCACGGGGAGAGCAGCCGCGCGGCTGGCGTCGGCGAGGGAAGGAGGGATCCGGCGATGACCTCGTCGCCCAGCGAGTGCCAGCCCGACCTGAGGCGGCGCGCGAACAGCTCCGCCTTTGCAATACTCCGCCACGCCGCCGCGTCCTCCTCCTCGCTGCTGCCACCTCCGCCCCCGGCGCCACCTTCGCCCCCGGCGCTCCCTCCCTCGCCCCCTCCCCCGGCGGCGACGGCGAGGAGGTGGGGCGCGGCCCGCCGCAGCAGCCCGTCCAGCGCAGGCTTGGCCGAGTGCTTCGCCTCCGGGAGGGAGCCAAACACGAGCCGCGGCGGCAGCGGCGGCGCGGCGCCTCCGAGCGTGGCGAGCAGCAGCGGCTCCCACGGCTTGCGGTGCGGGCTGCGGAAGGCGCCGACGGCCGGCCCACCGTCGGGCGAGAGCTTGAGCCAGTACCAGAGGCCGACCTTGGTGGCGCCCCAGGCGGGCAGCAGCGTCTGCTCCACCATCTCCTGCACCTTGATGGCGTTTGTCATCCACACGCAAATCAGGCAGCCGCGCCGGTCGCAGAGGGCGGGCAAGCTTCGGAGGGCCTCTGCCAGCTCTTCGAGCGCGAGCACCTTGTACGCCCCCGCGCGCTGCACCGACCGCGACGGCCAGGGCGGGTCGACGACGAGGCAGCGGAAGCGAGGCAAGATGCGCGACAGGCGCGGCCAGTATGCGAGCCGGCAGAGGCTGAAGCTGGAGCGCGCGGGCAGCAGCCACTCGCAGCCGAGCGCCTCGAGCCTTGCGGGCGAGTCGGTTGCGTTCCGCACCAGCGAGTGGAAGAGGAGGGGCGGAGCAAGACTGTGGGCGCGGCCTCCCCCCCTCGCGCCGCCGCCAGAGAGCCGCACGACGCGGAAGCGGCGCCGGCGGGAGGAGCGCTGCTGCCGCTCAGTCAGCTCCGCGAGGGGCGGAAGCTGCGGCTGCGCCAGAGAGAAAGGCTCAGGCTCGCCAGCTATCAAACCTGCAGCGCGGCCGGGCGAAAACTCGGAGGCGGAGGCGGTCGCAGCAGCAGTGCGGTATTGAGCAGCTGGCTTGCCGCCCGCTTCGGCCAGAAGCCGTCGTCGCAGCGCCACGTGAGCCTCTTCCATGCGGTCACACAGGCCGGGCTCGTTCTCGACGAGCGGTGCCTCTGCTCTCACAGAGCGCCGCTTGCGCTTGCTGCCTGCCTCGGCTGGCGGCACCGCCGCCGCTGGCTGCCCTAATGGCCGGAGCAGAGCCGGAGGTCTCCACCGCAGGAGTGGCGGGACCTCCTCCTGCTCGATGAACGTGGTGGGCCAGGGGCCGGCATTGGCAGGCGAAGACAGCATCAATGTGCACGATGAGTACGTGAGCCAGGCGGAGGAAGGGGGCGGCGGCGACGGCGGCTGCGAGGGCGGCGGCAGTGGAGGGAGTCTTGTGTGTGTGGTCGAGCGAGCAGGCGACTGCACAAGAAACAAGCGGCGCGACTCTGCCCAAGGGTGGGCGACGGCTAGCACCACACTCCTCTCCTTCGTGGGGGTTCGAACCACAGATCGGCATGGAAACTTCCTGCTTCCATGGTGTTTCCTCCTTTCTTACCCAAGAAGTAGCCCGCAGGACCGATCTGATTTTTTGTCAGTTTTCCTCTGTGCAAGAGCAAAACAAAACAAAGCAAGAGCTGAGAGGGCTCGGACGGAGCGCGTGGCGGGAGGGGGCAGGGAATGGGCGCGGGGGCAAGGAGGGGGGGCTCAGCCCTGCAGAAAGCATTAATTAATAATATTAAATGAAGAATTATTGCTCGGCCGTTCATGGAGTCCGTCTCGATCTGCACTGCCACTGGAGGAGACGGGTCAACCCCGTGAGGACCAGATCACGTTCACCTTGTCGTAGCCGGAGAGGATGTTGACCTTTAGCTATTGGAGCCGCCCATCAGCGCCTTTGTTTTCCCCCCCAACCATTCGTAGGGTGCCCACAGGACCCAAAAGAAAATAGCTCTTGCCTCAAAAAGGGACGCACGAGGCAAATCTGATGTTGGCTTGTTCCAGTAGGAGCGAGGCCTCTTCCGTTGGGGGACCGAGTTCATAGGAAACGAGGGTTTCCCATTGTGACCCGCTCCAGCGCGAGCGTGACACTGCACTTGGCGCCGAGCCGAGCGCCCGCGGCTCAGACCTTGTGCAAGCCGACCCTCGGTGAGTGCACCGGTCCGGACCGATGGCGCTCGGTGTGGAGCAAGCAAGACCCCCCCCCCCCCCCATCGGCGCGCGCCCGAGGTTCAAACGGCCGCCAGGAGCTCCAAGAGGACTCCTCATGGCTGCACTCAAGTGGGCTTCGACCGGCCTCGGCTGGGGGGGCGGGTTGTCCCGGCTGCGGACGCGTTCTGCAGCCCCCTGGGCGTGGGTCAGCACCCCAAAACTGCCCCTCGGCGGCATACAGCACTGCCAGCCAGCCTCTTCCTCCTCCTCAAGGGCTGTACTATAGGCCATATTGCGCCGCCTCCTACTGGCAGCCGGGCGGGCGCGCGCCGCGCGCGCCTCGGCGCGCGCACGGCTCGCAAAGTTCGAACGAGTACTGCCGCCCGGCCGCCTCAAGGCTGCCGGGCGGCAGTACTCGCCTCGCAAGGCGCGCACCGGCTGCTCTGGCTGCTGCGCCGGCGGCCGCTGCGCTGGCCGCTGCTGCGCCGGCTGGCGGGCGGTACGGCCGCCGGCGGCCGCTGCACCCGCGCCTTCCCTCGCGGGCGCCGTCCAACTCTGCTGCGGTACACGGCACGCGTCGTCACACAGCCGCGGAGAATAGGCGGTGCTGTGCGCGAAGCGCGCGCGATCTCGTACTTTAAGGCTGGATCCGGCCATTCCAAGGGTATACCTTTGAGAATCCCCATACTCCGCCTGTGCTTCCGGCGAGCCGATTGATAGGATGTGCTGCGGTGTCGCCGGAGTGCTCCGACCCGTGCCTCGCTGGTCAAACAGCAGGACGCGGAACGAGTCGAGAGCAACCTTCATCCACCCTCCGGGCGGTGCGGAGACGCGCGGTGAGGGGAAGCCTGGCCCGCCCTGCAGGTAAAGGATGAAGGGCATGGAGTCGTCCTTCTCCTTGCCCGCCTTGGCAACCTACGGCGAACACGGTGGCTCGCGTGTAAGAGAGGACTGCGTTGTGAGAACAAGACTGAGGGAGGCTATTCACTGATCATCACCTCGCGCACGAAGAGAGTGATGGTCTTGCTACGGCGAACACGGTGGCTCGCGTGTACTGAGGACTGCGTTGTGAGAACAAGACTGAGGGAGGCTATTCACTGATCATCACCTCGCGCACGAAGAGAGTGATGGTCTTGCTACGGCGAACACGGTGGCTCGCGTGTACTGAGGACTGCGTTGTGAGAACAAGACTGAGGGAGGCTATTCACTGATCATCACCTCGCGCACGAAGAGAGTGATGGTCTTGCCGTCGGGCGAGGCGTGGTCAAGCGGGACGAAGAGCTCATGCTCTGTGACGACGATGCCGCCGGGCAGCGTCTTGCGAGAGACGGCCACGCCGCCGGGGGCGAGCGCTGCGAAGGTGGGTGGCATGGCGCAGAGGGCGAACGCGACGAACGTTGAGGACGGACGAGGTTGCGGCCCCGACGTCAAAGTCAAAGAAAAAATATTATCCCCCCCTACAGAGCCGCTTCGTGCGTGATCTTATTAGATCTAGGTCCGGTTGTGCCTATTTTGTCGAGTAGGGCCTGAAATTATTGGGCGCTGGGTGGGCCGCGGGGACCCAGACATCCACCGAACGGACAAAAACAAATTTAAAACAAATTTATGTCCCACCATGCAGAGCGCATCTCTCTCTCTGTTGTGCGAGGCGTGAACCGCGCCATTCGCTCTCACCTGGCAACCCTGTCTGCACGTCTCGCGCGCGCGTGAACAGGGCTCCAGGCCCCAAATGACGTGTGAGTGTTAGATTTGTTTGGTATTGCTAAAAATCTCTCTCTCCGAACGGGGGTCCGGCGCTGTGAAATTTGGCTTGACGCTCTAAAGATGGCCCAGGCCAAGATCGACCGCCTCGAGGCAGAGCTGGCTCAGCTCCGAGCGAGCCTCGATCCTCCGTCGTCGCCGCCACCCTCCCCGCCTCCGAGCTCGGCGGCCGGCTCGTCCTCTGGCGTCGTGTGGTGGCACGTCGTGATCCCTGTACTCTCCGTGGCGGCGCTGGTGGCGGTCCTCTTTGTGCTACATCGGTTTTCCCTCCTGCCCCGCACTGGGCGGCTGCGCTCGCGGCGGTCGCCACGCCGCCGAAGGCTTCCGCGCTGGCTGCGGCAGATCACCGACGGCCTCGAGGAGGCCTCCTCGTCCGTCTTTGCGAGAGAGAGGGCGGGCGTGGTCCACGACATCGCGGCCGTCTCTCCGGCCGACGAGGGCGGCGCCCACGGGCTCCTCTCGCGCCGCGACTCGAGCGACCCGCGCCGCGCACACCTCCTCGAGCTGCTCGAGCGGCTGGACGGCGGCGGCGGCGGCTTGGGGCCGCGATCGGCGTCGCACGGGGAGGCGGGGGAGGGGGCGGCGTGCGCGGGCGCGTCGGCGGACATCGACCGCCTCGTCGCGCGCACCGGCTCGCTGGACGCGGCGCTCGTGGCCGCCGTCAGCCAGGCGGGCTCCGCGGGCGACGTGGCGGCGCTGCTGCAGCGGGGCGCCTCGCCGCACTCTGCGCTGCTCGGGAGCGGGCCGGTGCTCTCGCTCGCCGCCCGCGGCTGCAGCGCCGAGGTGAGCAGGCTGCTGCTGAGCGCCGGCGCCGACCCCGACGGCAAGGACTCGCGCGGCTGGACGCCTCTCATGCACGCGATCGACGCGCACTCTGCCGCGGCGCCGCGCGAGCAGGTGGTGAGGGTGCTGCTCAGCCGCGGCGCGGCGGTGGACGTGTGGGGCGACGACCTGCTCGGTCCGCTCGACCTCGCCCGCGCGAAGGCGGCCGACGCCGTCAAGGCGGAGGGTAAGGGGGAGGGCAAGGCGGAGGGAGCGGGCGCGACCGACCTGCGCGTGTGAGGCCGCGCGCACGGCCGGGACGGGCTACAGTCAGCACACCGTGTACAGTCGTCGTCGGGGGGATGATCTAAAAAAAGGGGACCCGATCTTAGAGTCACACAGTGAAAGCTCTCGAGGTCGAGCATACGCCATCGATATCCGTGTCGCAGCTTCGCCTTCGGCGCGCTGGGGCCCCCCGGCGATTTCTTTTCTCTCGCTCGCGATGTCCGATAGCGGGCCGAATCACAACAAAAGTAGGAAACGACAAGGGCGTCTCGGGATGAACACAGACAAAAAGAAAGACGGTCCTTGCACTACCCCGTCGCGCTCCATCGCGCCCGGCTCAAGGTCAACCGTTGACCGTCAAGCGGCTCCTTAGCTGTCTCCATGGCCGCCGCACGCGAGCTCGTCATCTGGCGCGGCTCACAGTTCAGCTCCAAGGCGATCGCCGCCCTGCGCGTAAAGGGGTTCTTGCCGAGCAAGGACTACAAGCTCTCGTCTGCGCCGATGGGTCTCGAGGAGCGCAAGAAGCTACTGCCCGCGCCCTACACCGTGCCGGTGCTGCGATGGGATAGCGAGGTCGTGGCTGGCTCGGACGAGATCTGCGCCTTTCTCGACGAGCGCGTGGCAGAGCCGCTCCTTTACCCTGCCGAGCACGAGGGCGAGATCCGCCGGCTGGAGAGGGCCGCCTCCGATCTGTACTGGGTAAACGGGTGGCTGTCGACGGTGGACGCCGCCGGATTCGAGCGTTGGAGCGGCGCAAGGGTGCGCAAATACGTGAGCGGCGGCGGCGCTGGCGTCGGGCCACGGCTGCTCTTCAAGGCGCTGCCCGGCTCCGTCACGAGCCGAATGATTCACGGCGTGGCTAAGAAGAGCTACCTCGCGACGCTGCGCCGGCGGGGCGCGGAGCTTGGAGGCGAGACCGGCGCGGCGTGCCTGCGGCTGGCGGCGGAGCGCGACACGGCTGCAGTGATGGAGGAGGCGCGAGCGATGCTGCGCGTATTCGACCGCGAGCTGCAAGCGTCGGCGACGGAGTTCTTTTGCGGCGCTTCCGAGCCGACAGCCGCCGACCTGACGCTGTACGGCATGCTAGAGCGCTGGCTGGGGAACAGCCTCTGTCCTGGTCTGAACGGGCCCGCGCAGCCCTCGGTCATCGACGGCATGCCCGGCCTCAGCCTCGCGTGGGAACGGATGCACGAGCGGTTCCAGCGCGACTGCACGCTCTCGGAGCTCGACGACTTTGCCGACATCGCCACTTCCGTCGGCGATGTCACGTGGTCGCGGAAGGGCTGACTCGTTGCAATACTTTCTCGTCGTCTCACTCCACCGCGTGCCTCGTGCGGGCCGACCCTCGCACGACAGCTCTCAAAAAAGTCATCCGCGACGCCAGGACCTGCATGCATCCGACCCATCTCTTCGGCATCGCCTCCGTCGGCGACCTGCATCCAGACGTGCTACTGGCTCCGCTTTCGGCGGCGAACTTCGATGCAGACCGCTTCCGCCGCCTGCAGACCACTTCCGCCGCCGGGGCCACGCCGGCCGAGAACGCTGGCCGCCTCTCCAACTTTGACTTCATCATCTCCGAGTTCCTCGCCGCCGGCATGACCATTGAGGGTGGCGGAGGCGGCGGCGGCGGCGGCGGAGCTTGTCGTGCCAGTCTCTGCTGTGAGAGAGGCGGGTGCACTTAAATAAATAAATAAATAGAGCAGTCATCTCCAGGAGAGATGGGCGACGCACGAACACTCAGGCACAGAGTGTGGTCTCACGGGGTGCGCACCCCGCCCGCCCCGCTCACACAGGGCGTGCACCACACAGGCGCGAAGGACGCGACGCGGGCTGCGGAGAGGGCGGCCGAGAAGGCGGCGAAGGAGGCGGCGTGGGCTGCGGGGGCGGCGGAGAGGGCGGCGGAGCGGGCGGCGGCGGAGGCAGAGGCGGCGCGGCACGCCGAGGAGGGAGGAGCTGCTGGCGGAGGTCGAGGGGCGGAGAAGCGCGCCAAGGGCAAGAAGGGCAAGAAGAAGAAGAAGAACGGCGGCGGGGGCGGCGCTTGGCCGTCGCAGGAGACGGAGGATGAGGCAGCGCATGCTAATCACATCGACTCTGGGTCGTGGCGGGGCGTGACGGGTGTACTGTGTTCTCTGTGCATGTTGCGTCTCGAGGCTCGCCGACACAAACACAGAAACACCCTGCTCCTAGCCTGCTGCTGCGAGGCGCTGAGCTCTCATCCCCAGGGCCCGCGCCGGTTGCGCGAGGTGACTGGCGGCGGCGCGGGCATGGTCCCATACGAGCTGCCTCCCCACGGCGTCGTGATCGGCGCCTCGATGGAGAAGCCGTGCTCCAGCGGGTGCACGGACGCGTCGCCTGCCTTCCACTGATCGTAGCAAGCGCCGCACAGGTCCACCCTGCAGCGGTCGCAGTGGAAGCGGTACTCGCCGGGACCGACCGCGCCGTGGGTGCGCCAGCCGCCGATCTCGCCGCTGCCGGCCAGTTGCCGCCGTAGATCGTTGTGGATGCCGGCGCGGCAATGCCCGCAGCGGTGCGACGCCTCGGCAGTGGCGGCGGAGGAGGAGCTGGCGGCGGCGGAGGCGGCGGCGGCAGCGGCCTGCATCGAGCCGAGCGACTCCTGCGGCGGCGGGAGGCCGCGCAGAAGGGCGTCAAGCCGGCGCAGCTGCGCGAGTGCGTCCTGCAGCGGGCCGAGCGAGCGCTGCGGGCGCAGGACCAGCCTCGAGTCGCCGCCCTCCTGCTCGTGCTCCTGCTCGAAGCCCGCGCTGCTGAGGAGGGCGAGTGCGCCAGGGATGTCGAGCGTGGCGGCGACGGCTGGGTTGGCAGCGCGCACTGACCGGTACTTGTCCTCGTGCGGGCTTCGGTCAATGTTTTGCAGCAGCCGCAGGAGCGCGCCACATGCCTTGAGGAGCGGCTCCCGCGGCGCTCGTCCCATTTGCCAGAGCGCGCCGCGCAGCGGGTCGAGCGACGCTTCCGCGCCAATCGTGACGAGCTGGTCCTCCTGGCCCACCACGATGGACAGAAGAAGCTCGCGGCTCGCGTCCTCACGCACGCACCACCGATGACCGATGTACGTCTCGCGCGTTGCCTGCCCGCCCTGTTGGAGCTTACCGTACGACCGCTCACTGCTGCCGTCGCACCACAGGAGGTCGACGGTGCCCTCGAAGCTCCAATTCGAAGGGTAGTGGAAGCTGAGCCGAACGAGGCGCTGGGACATGACTGCCGACTCGGCGGCCTAAATAAAAGAGACGCGGCGATATGATCGCAGCCAGCGGCCGCGGTTGAGCATCCCTCCGGGGACCCCTCTGCGTAAAACTATGGTTCGGGCTCCTCACGGATAGGGGTCTGCCCAATGACTCCCAGATAGGTAGGTAGGTTGGTCTTGTTTGGCCCAAAAGGGCCCTGCAACAGGTACCCTATTTTCGCCTTTTCCTCTTTTTTCGCTTCGCTGCGCGGCCTGGGGATAGGTAGGCAGGTAGTAGGGCGTTTTGGCGCGAGTCAGTGGCGACAGACCCCTATCCGCGGCTAGGTCCTCTAGGAGCCGGAACCCAGAGAGGCACCAACATGCAAAAGAATTTTAACACAAAACTCCATCGCACAACATTGGGCACGGGACTGGCGCGCACTGGCACTAAGGGAGCTCATGCAAAGGAATTTTAGAATGGAAAAGAATTTCGCGCGAGCGGCGGCTTCTTCCAGCGCTGTGGTGGCGGCGTGCCGTCCTCCCATCCCTCCTTGGGCTGTCTGTTTTCTTTCCCAATAAGTTTATACTTCCCCCTGCAGACCCTCGCTACGGAGGACAAAACTCCACAGCGTGCCCCACCGGAGCAACCTCCGGCACCCCCCGGTGTGCCCGCCCGTTCGCGCTCCGCTCGGCGGGAGGCGGCTGCTCCTCCTTCGCGCCCGTTTCGAGCTCAGCGGCCCTCGATGCATCGCTCGAGGCCCCAACCGCACGCATCATCGCCGCCTGCATCGCACGGATCTCAGCGACGGAGCGGGAGAGCTCGAGCTGCTGCGATGAGAGCCCCTCCAGCTCCTGGTGCAGCACCGCCATGTTGGACACCTGCGTGAACGACTTGCCGCCGGCAACCCTGGCGCCCGCCCCCTGATCGTCGCTGCCACTTCTCCGGCGACAGGCCTTGGTGGCCGCCGATGCTCGCCGCCCGGAGCGTCCCCGCGCCCGAGCTCGTAGAAAGGTCTGCAATCGGCACAGAGCGAGCTTTTGCCGATGCCGCACGACGGCGTCCTCCTCGATCTCGCGGATGAGGTTCGCCTCGTTGCACGTAAGTTCTGACTTTTGGGCGAGGGTGGCGGTGAGGAAGGCGACGTTCGTGACGCCCACAACGATCATGACGATTGCGACGATGCTGCCCGGCACCGTCTCAACCTCGGTGACGGGTGCGTCGGTCATAAGGACGATCCCCTCGAAAATGGCACGCCAGTAGGAGGCCTTGAGCGCGGGCTCGAGGGCGTGCGTGCAGAAGGCGCCACTGATGAGACTAGAAAGGGTGCTCGTGAGCAAGACCGCGAACGGATAGCGGGTGAAAAGGTACTTGACTCGGAAGGAGGGCTCGACCACCCGGCCGTATTGCCACGAGAGGACCGCAGGAGAGCGCACATTGCCGAGGGACATGGTCGCACGCAGCAGGTAGCCAAAGAGAAGAATCAGCCGTACGAACTGGAGCAGCGCCACGACGGTGACACTGCGCACCACGGCCGTCGACATGTCTGCCATCGGGTCGTCGTGGTCGCCAAGTCCATCAAAGATGGCGCCCTCGATAAGCGGGAGCTCAACCTCGCGCTCGACGCCGGGCGGGATGACTCCGACCAACAGCACCAGCCACTCGCACATCGGCGAGTCCCACCACCTGCCGCGCCGCGCGTGATACATCTGCCTGAGAAGCCGCATCTGGACGCGGTGGTAGACACTGACGCTGAACATTGCACCAGCCGTCAGAGCGAGGTTAAAGCCGAGGAGGACCTGCACGGCCGTGTCCCTGCCGCCTTGCAGGGACAGCTCGACGGCTGTCATCATGAAGATCAGCGAACTGATGACGAGAAGGATATTGCAGCCGTCAAGCCACAGCTGCTGCCTAGCGAGCTCGTCCACTAGCGCTGCGCGCCGAAAGGGCTTTGCGTCGCTGGAAGAGGTACCCTGCGGCTCTGGAGCGAGCATGAGGATACTGGAGGACTGACCGCGGCCATCCGGGTGGCGAGGGCACACTCGGTTTCTCATGATCGACTTCTCGTCAGCGGAGAGAGGACGCGCGAAGCCCGCCTTTTCTAAAAACCAAACGACTTTCACCCACCAAAAGTTTTACGAAACGGCTGTGATTGAGCGTGGGGGGGGTGAACGCAGAGGGGAGAGCTGGGCCAGCGCGAGCCCTCGCGGTAAAACACCATCATGTCGCCCGATCGGGCGACAGCAAGCAAGCACTTTTCTTGGAATGGAGAATGGTACATGCATGCAGCCAGTGACTGGAGGAAGAGCTGCGCCCTCCCTGGTCTAGCCTCGGCGCAGGAAGCAGTCATCATCCAGCACGCGCCAGGTCAGTCAGTCCACGCCTGTGTCGAGCCTGTCTGCTGTGAGAGAGAGTTTTGTTTGGTAAATTCTTGAATCGGGTCGGAGCGCAGACAGATGGCTCGGCAACAAACGTACAGCACTTCCTCGTTGAACGCGTCCCGTCTCTGGTCCGGGCCTGGTCCCCAGATAAAAATTTGTTTTTTGTGAACATTAATTATTATTTCTTTCCTCAAATTCTTTCATTTTTGTGCGTGGCTCTTGCGAAATATTTGAAACCCCAGATTTCGGCTGAAATTAAAATGAAGGAGCACAAACGCCAGTCTACAAAACGGGGAGGCACGTAGTGAGTTTTTGGCTTATCAACTCGTACAAAGGCGACCCGGGCACCATACCAAACCCTGCAAAAACCCGGAACCCTGTCACTGCTGCAACGCTGTCGTTGTGCGCATTGGGTGTGCCCATGCTCCTCTCGTCGAAGCAGCTCGACGCGAACGGCGATTCCGCCATCGCGCTCGACGATCTCACCCACCTCCTCAAAACTTACTCCGGCGAGACCATCATGAGTAGCCTGCGAGCCTTAGCTGACCAGGCTGACGGCACACAGGCTGAAGCGATCGCAAAGCTCTCAGCTCTTTTTGGAGAGATCGTCGCAAAGACTGAGGCCGCTGAGCCCAATGGTGCATCGCCGGCGGACGATGCCGGCTCCGGCTTCTCCACCGCTGCCTTAGGGTGGGCGGTAATCGCCGCCGGCGCCGCTTACCTGTGGTGGAAGGGCCGAAACGCTGGCGGTGGCCGCGCCACCCTCGGTGGCGCCGCCGGTGCCGCGCGCGCCCCACCTGCCGACGCTGCGAGCGTGCGCGCGGCTCGCCTGGCCAAGCTCGCTGCAGCGCCGCCCGCCGCCTCTACTCCGGCGGCGCCTCGAGCGGCTCCCGCCAAAGATTCTTCCGGGACGGCGGCTCCGAGCCCCTCAAAGGCGACGCCCGCGCCAAAGTCGGGCGCGACGGCAGCGGCAGCGAAACCCACCGCCGACCTCCCCCCCGGCACGGCTACAGCTACAGCTGCCAGGGCGGCTGCCAAGGCTTCGGCCACCGCCAAGGAGCCTCGCACCACACCCGTCCCAGACGAGTCCGTGCCAGAGGCGCCCAACGCGGCCGCCGCCAAGGTAGCGGAGGCTGCGCCCGCGTCCCCCGCCGACCTCGCGCTCGCGCTCTTTGCGGCGGTGCGGGGCGGGGCGGCGGGCGAGGCTGCGGCCGACGCGATGCCCGAGGCTGCCTCAGTGACGCGAGCGCGGGCGTGGCTGCGCGAGGCGCTGCGGCGCGCGGTCGACGCGGCGGAGGGAGGCGGCACCGCGGGCGGCACGAGAGCGCTCGGCGCGGCGCTCGACATGATGGAGAGACTCGACTCGCAGCGGACCGCCGTGTTTGACGCGCGGCGCGAGGAGGGCGGCGGGGCAGCGGGCGGCGGCGGCGGGGCAGGCGAGGGCGGCGGGGCAGAGGAGGCTGCGGCCATGCGGCACGCTCTCTGCCGCGAGGCGCGCGCCTAACCCACCCCGACCCCCCTGGCCCTGACCCTGACCCTGGCCCTGACCCTGACCCTGGCCCTGACCCTGACCCTGGCCCTGGCCCGACCCCTGACCCCTCTCCCTGACCCTGGCCCTGACGCCTCTTCCGCCAGGCGCGCGCCGCCCTCGGCGGCCGCGTGAGGGAGCTGCTCCGCCCGTGCGGGTTCGGGGCAGGCCTGGGCGCCGTCCTCGCCTCGCGCGGTGCGCTGCCGCCGCCGGACGACGCCCTCCGCGTCTGGTACGGCCGCGCGCTCGCGGGACGGCTCCCTCCGTGGGCGTTCGGCGCGCTCTGCCTCGCCGCGCCGCCCGCGCCGCACCCCTCGCTCGGGGAGACGCGCGCCGCGGCTGCCGCCGCTCCGGCCGAGGCGGCGGCGGCGGCGGCGGACGCGGCGCTGCTCACCGCGCGCTGCGTCGGCCTCGCACTGCAGCCGCTGCGCGAGACGTCGGCGGACGGTCCGAAGCCGTGCCTCTGCGCCCTCGCGCAGCTCGTCGGCCATCCCGCAGGCGGGGAGGGGGTGCGGCTGCTGCTCGCGGCCGACGTGCGGCCGCGCCCCCTCGCCGCTCCCGAACTCCTTTTTCTCCAGTGTCCGCTCCGTTGACGTGTTTCACCAATAT